CCGGGGGCACAGCCAACCGTACAACGACAAGTCAGACTGACACAACCCGAGCTCGACGAACTGAGGAAGCGGTTAGACTACTTGTTAGAGAGAAAAATCATTCGACCGTGCTCGTCACCGTTCGCCGCACCGATACTGTTCACACCGAACAGAGAGTGAAATGGCAATACCCCATTCCCCGCGCCGACGAACAGATAGATCAACTACGAAAAGCAAGGGTCTTTTCGAAATTAGATTTACGGGGAGGTTACCACCAGATTCGAGTCGAACCATCAGACTGCGCCAAGACAACATTTAGAACTTAGTACGGGTCTTTCGAGTACACCGTGATGCCATTCGGGCTGACCAACGCACCGACGACATTTGAGATGACCATGAACGAGGCGTTTGGTCCGCTCTTAGATAAGTGTGTGATAGTTTATCTCGACGACATCCTAGTCTATAGTCGTGATAAGCAGCAGCACTTAGCAGACATGGAAGCGGTGTTTAAAGTTAAGACGAGCACACACTACTGACCAAGGGTTCCAAGTACGAGTTCTTCCAGGATAGGTTATAATATTTGGGGCACATTATTTCGGAGGATGGAGTTGAGATCGACCCAAAAAAGCTGGACACGGTAAAAGCGTGGCACCCCCCGACGAATTATGTGTGTCGGTTCGTCCCCGACATGGCACGGTTAACGGCCCCACTGACGGATTTACTGCGGAAGGGGGTCGTTTTTACGTGGGGGGGGGGGGGGGGGGGGGGGGAAGAGAATGCTGCCTTTTCTGCCCTGAAAAATGTTCTCTATCCCCGCCCGTACTGCGCATCGCCGACCCACACCGCCCATTCGAAGTAGTTACAGACGCAAGCGACATCGCCATTGGAGCCGTACTGCTACATGATTCCGGCAACGGCATACAGCCCATCGCACACGAGTCACGAAAACTGCACCCGCCCGAGAAAAATTACCCGATACACGACCACAAAATGATCGCGATCGTGCACGCGTTCAAAGTGTGGCGCTGTTATTTGACCAGCGCAGACGTGACAGTACGGGCAGACCACAAATCACTACAATACCTCCGCGCACAGCCCCACCTCAACCCACGACAGATTCGCTGGCTCGATTTCCTCGAGTCAAATTTTCATTATACGGTCACTTACAAAAAGGGGGCATCAAACATCGCCGTTACATTGACCCGCCCCACTGCCCAAATCTACGCCATACTACTCACCCAGACCAGCCCACTGCTAACAGGACTATTTACCCACGGCTACCAAACAGACTTGATCTTCACCGGAGGAAACTCGCAGCAGTTCGCAGCAACAAAATGGGTGTATTACATAAAAGTCGGCACTGATAGGATCTGGGTACCGGACTACACCTTACTACGGGAATTACTGCTACAGGTTGCACACGACGGAGTCACCTCAAGACATTTCGGAGTAGAAAAAAACACGGCAGCAGCTGCAGCGGTATTACTACTGGCCCGAAATGCTGACCGACGTGCAACGACACGTGGCATCGTGTTCCACCTGCCAGCTCATGAAGTCGTCACGACAGCGACCAGTAGGACAGTTGCAGCCGATACCACCACCAAATCGTGCTTGGCAGCATGTGACCAAAGACTTCATCACGGGGTTACCGGCTGGAGCAAGTGGGAACGACCCGATCCTGGTCGTCGTTGATCGGCTGACGAAAATGGCACACTTCGCAACCTTCAAGAAATCAATCACGTTCGAAGAAACAGCTCGACTCTTCGTCGACACCATCGCTCGACTACACGAGATACCAGCGGCGATCATCAGCGACCACGACACGAAATTCACCAGCAACTTCTGGCGGAACCTGTGGCAACAGTTCGGCACGCGACTACAATTTAGTTCATCGTACCACCGCGAAACCGACGGACAGACAGACCATGGAACAGCTCGTCCGAGCCATGTGCGACGCGACGATTACGTGGGAACAGCAATTGCCACTCAACGAGTTCGCATACAACAACTCGCCATCCGCCACGACCCAACAGTTACCGTTTTATCTGAACTACGGACAAGAACCCACAGTACCCATGACCCCGAATCCCGACAACCAAGTACCACGTGCGCAACACTTCGCGGAAATACTACAGGCAGCAGGGACCCGAGCAGCAGAAGCAATAATAAAATCAAACGTCATCGCTAAGGGCGACGCCGACCGGCACCGCCGCCCTGTCACTTACCAACCCGACGACCTGGTATTACTCGACACTCAAAATCTCCGTCTACCCATCACTCCAAAACTCCGCCCCCGATATTGCGGGCCATTTCGCATCAGCCACATGATCACCTCCGTCACCGCCCACCTCCTCCTCCCCGCTGACCCGTACGTCAGCGCGTCGTTCCACGTCAGCCTGCTTTGCCCGTACATCCCATCCACCAGCCAACTGCCTCGCCACCACCCCGCCAGCATGACATGACCTCCGACAGAGCCAATCATCACGCCTAAAAAAATAATGAGCAACAGAGTTTGTGACCCACAGGGAGCCCGCAGGATCGAATTCCCGATCCGCTGGAAAGACCGCACGCCCACCGAAGACAAATGGCCCCCCTGGATAAATTCGAAAACCACTATGTCCTCACCGAGTACCTGCGCAGCCGAAACTTTCGAGATGTATACGCGCTCTCGTAAGGAGGGCCCCTTTGGGGAGGGGGGTAGTATAAGGAAAAACCATTTTCCTTACTTCGCGTCCCTGCCTACTGCATACATGACCATTCCCGTCATTGGCATCCAACAGTGAAACGTTACCCGCTCGCAACACTCGCCTCGACCCTGACTCCCGCCACTGTTCACGATGCGACCCAACCTCACGGTTTGGTTGGTAACCCGCGTTCCGGACCTCCGCTTCGACATCCCCCAACCTCGGCACTAGGCCCGTAGCGCACCCCATTTCTCGCGTTACCGTTACCACGCTAGCTTTGCTATATATTCATCGCTCATTCCTTGGCTCATTGTATTGTTTTGCTTAGATAGTGCAATTCTAGCTCGCTCGCTCAATTGCACTCGTAACACTTATCCACACATATTCCTTGGCCACGATTTACTGTACACCGGTCACATGTTTCCCAACGTTCCGATAAGCGCTTTTGTCTCACGATCTCCAGGTTGTGTCAGACCTCAAATCTTTCTTCCAGCTACGGCTTGGCTCTGGCCGAGCCTCTCTCACTGGTCATCTTTCGGACCTACAGACCATATCGTGGAAGCTGCATCCACGCACCCGCAGATTCAAGGCTATCGACACCGTTCCTTGTTCAAACCTAGAAATTTACAATTTCACTGAGCCGTCGATTGACGCCGAGCCAAGAGAAGGACAGGTTCGGAATGAGCTCTGTCCAGGCTTTCATTACCATCTCTCTACTGCCGTCAATGCACTCATTTTCCCCATCATTTGTTTCCTATCTCAACAGCAACCTCACATTTCACAGACTCGTCGTCCAGGCTCGCCGCTTTTGGTATCACCTCGCCACAGTCATCGAGGATAAGAACTGCATGGCACAATTTGGCGGTAATCCAGTCACCCAGAACCACATCATGACTCCCCTTACACAAGGAGCATCGATCACGTGGCAACAGGGCTCAGACTCCCTGTCATCCTCTTAGCTCTCAGCTCAGCAGTTCACATTGTGGACGTCGGTCATAGTAGCTACTAACAGTGTGCAAGAAGTTCTGACAATTTGACCTCTCTCGACCAAGTTCCCTTTTTTTTCCCTGCATTTTGCAAATGGATAACCCGAAGCTTCCGCCGGTGAAGGTCAAGCTTGAGAGCGACGTAGCAGACGCGACATTGCAACTGAAAGAGCAAAGACGCGATGCCGAGCCGCTGTCACCAACGGCTCGTTTTTTTCCTTTCTGACGAGTTCTACACGACCGTCCTGTGCGCGCTGGAGTTTAAAGACCGCATGGAGATCGACGAGCTTAGGACGATTCTCTCGGATACCCTTTTGAAGCATCCTCGCTTTCACAGTCGCATGGTAAAGAGTTCTGTTTAAAACTGGGATCTTGGTAGATGAACGAAGAATTACACCCCTCGAGCGGAGTGGAAAAGAGGTGTAGTGGTTTTCCGTCCCGAAACGACGCGCTCCCAATCTCTACAGTCCCGTTATGTCCCAATTCGCTCGTTCCATTACCACGCCTTGATTGGGGACCTATGCATCCCACTTTTGGAGACAGAAAGTTCCACTCTGCTCGGCCAATCCCATCAACTCGTCCCATTTCAGACCGCTACACAGATAGAGCTCGACCCGTCGAGTCATGCGTCCCGTTCCAAACGGGAAACGCGCGATGCCATTTTCCACCATCCATTTCATCACTTTTCACCAAGTCATTTCTCTACGCGCTACTGTGTTTTCGTAACGTCATCCTCGTGTCGCAGGAACACCGTGGCCGTTGTAAGGGCGGCGAGCAGGTGTGGGTGCGGACGACCGTCGACATGGCCTACCACGTCGTGGAAGGCACCCCGCCTGACGGATGTGACAATAACGGGGACAGTAGCGCGGGAGCAGCGCGCGCGGAAGGAGCTGCAAGAGAGGCAGAATCGGCGGAAGGAGGTGCAAGGCCGGCGGCGGAAGAAACAAGAGGCGCGAAGTGCGATTCGGCGTGCTACGAGGCGGGGAGCATGGAGTGGCACATGCGGCGCCTGCAGCACCAGCCGCCCTTCGACGCCTCCCGCCCCCTCTGGCGCGTTCACCTTGTGCCTCTGCCCAATGGTCGCTCCGCTGCTCTCTTCCGGTACGAAGCCATCTGTTAGCTCATCACAGATAGCTTGTGTATGACAGGCAATTATTGACGATTGTGTAAGCGCGAGGTGGTAGTCGGCGTGCTTCGAAGCGGGGAGCATGGAGTGGCACAAGCGGCGCTTGCAGCACCAGCCGCCTTTCGACGCCTCCCGCCCTCTCTGGCGCGTACACCTCGTGCTTCTGCCTCACAGCCGCTCGGCTGCTCTCTTCCTGTACGATGCTAGTACGCGCTCGCAGAAGACATGGATATAAATAACAGACACGTTTGGTCACTTTTTAGTCGAGTTAAGAAAACTGCACTGTACGCTCTCGCAAATGTCGTGTGTACTGTACTGCAGACACGCTTCCCATCTTCCTGGCAGAACGTGCGCACACTCCCTCTTCTCACCCCTCCTAACCGTCCATCTCCTCACCCCACTTCTCCCGCCCAAGCGCAGCATCCACCTGCGCCCTGGACGACGGAGTGGAGGGGCGCTCATGTCTCTAACTCCCCTTCCTCCATCTCCACCTCTTCCCCCTTCTCTCCCTCAAACAAACAATGCCTCCCCGCCATGAGTGGCGTCCACCACTCCCTGGGTAACGGAGTGTCTCAAACGTCTCCAACTCCCTCTCCTTGCCCACCCTACCAGATCCCGTGCCCCCTTAACTCCTCCCGCCCCCCCTTTCCCCCTTACCTCCTCCCGCCCACCCTCCTCTCCCCCCACCCCACCAACGCGCAGCCCTCCAATGCGCCCTGGGTGGCGGAGTGTTGCTTATGTCTCGTATTACCTCTTCCCTCCAATCCTACCCATGCCCCCGCTTTTCATTTTCCCTTGCCCCCCTCCCTCCCACCCGTTGCCCCCCTTTTTCTCCTGCCCGTTCGCAGCATCCATCACTCTGGCGACCAGGTGTTGCTCATGTCTGTAGCTCCCTCTTCTCTTCCCACCCACCGTTCTTCTGCTCGCCTCTCTCCAATCCCGCTTCCTGCTTTTCCCCGTCGCCCCCGACGCAGCATCCACCACTCCATGGGCGACGGCGTGTCGCTCATGTCTCTCCTGCTCGCCTGCACCCGCCGCACCGACAACTCCGCCCTCCTGCCCACCCTCCCCACCGCCAAGCGCCAGACCGGCTCCCAGCCCAGCAGTGCAGCTGCAGCTGCAGCGGTGGAGGTGGAGGAGAGTGAGGAGCTGCGGAAGCAGCTGGATGACGTGGGAGAGCCCGAGAAGGAACAGTTAAAGCCCGGGAAAGTACACATGCCGTCTGCAGCATCGGCATTCACGCTTGACTCGATGACTGAATCGCCGTTTGCCCCAGACCCAGTCGGGCAGGCAGCAGCAGAAGCAGCAGTACCTTCAGAAAGGGTTACAGCAGATGCGGGTGGGAGTGTGGGTGCGGGTGGTGGGGGTGCCATGGGGAAAGGGGCAGGGGCGGCAGGAAAGAGAGGGGGAGTGGGAGGGTTGGTGGGTGTGGGGAGGTGGATGTGGCAAGTGATAGCTGTGTTGGGGAACACGCTGTGGCACGTGTCAACGTTCATGGCTGTGCTGCTGTGGCGCGCTGATACTGCCACCTGTGTCAAGATGAAGTCGGGGAGTGGCGGCGCGCAGAAGAAAGGCGGAAAAGGGAGCAGTGTCGTGCTGCAGCACCCGGAGGAGGGGAGAGGGGAGGTGCAGACTGGGGGAGGGGATGCTGTGGGAGGGGATGGGAGTGGAGATGGAGGAGGGGGAAGGTTTGTGTTTGGAGTGAGTGGGCCGATGAGCCTGACTGACATTTCGAGGGTCAGACGAGCCTTTGGTGCGGTGAGTCCTGTGCGCCTGGCAATATATGAGGACGTCACCATGATTGCAATATCACTCTGTCTGTAACGCATCCGTCTGTGGCTCACACCTTAAACCCTGAACAAATAACGACGTCACTGTGATTGCATGCTCGAACTTCCTTTCCTTACAAATCCCCCCTCTTCCACCTCCCCTTCCACATCCCCGGCGTTCCACGTCCCTTTTTACATCCCCTCACATGCCCCATCAGATCATTAACGATGTGATGGTGACGGTGATCGCAGGAGGTCTCGATCACTACGTGCGCCACCAACACGACTTTTTAGCCAATTAAAAAATCTCTCACATCCCCTTCGTCCCACACCCCATCAGACCATCAACGATGTGATGGTGACGGTAATCTCAGGGGGACTCGACCGTTACCTGCGCCACCACCACGAGCAGCAGGCAGAGAGAGCAGGTGAGCTAGACGCTTTGCATCATTGCCTTGGCAGGGTTGTTTCTTTCGCCACCACCACGACCACCAAACACAGAAAGCAGGTAGGCTCAAGCATGATGAGTGATGACAGCTGAAAGAGCAGGTGAGTGGGAGCATGGTATGCACTCACCAGGGCTCGACTGCTCACGCATCACATACACTCTCTCTCCCTCTGCCAACTCCTCACAACCGTACCCCTTGCCTCTGCTAACCAACCATCCACTCCTTCTCTTCTTACTAATCTCCTGTTCACCCTCCTTGATGCTACTCCCTTTTTGCTTACAGGAGAGCCTACCCCAGTTGCCACCTCCCCACTGCCTACCACTGTTCGCCTCAGCGCTGTCTGTGTTGTCAACATCCGCCCCGCGCCTGGGCTTCAGGTAAACCTTCCCCAGTGAGCCTGGCACTTCAAATTACCAACTTCACATTGACCTACCTACCCCAGTTGCCACCTACCCGCTACCTGCCTGTGTTTGCATTCGCAACGCCATCTGCATTGTAAACATCCGCCCAGCGCCTGAGCTTCAGGTAAACCTCCCCCAGGAAAGCCTGCACTTCAATTTACCAGCTTCGGGCACACCTGGCAATCGGCTGGCAGGTGTAGCAGTGCCAGGCAGCTGGTGGTTAAAAGGGCCGTTGAGTCAATCCACCCTCACACAATGATGCTTTATCTTCACAATGCACCGCACTGCACCATGCCGCACCGCACACCACTGTGTGCACGTCTACCTTCTATTCCTCAGCTCATTTAAAATTTCTTCCTCACCTTCATCCCACCCAACCCCAAGCCTTCCAACCCCACCTTCTCCTTCTGTGCTGCTCCTCCACTCTGTTTTCCCTTTCCTCCAACCTTCTCTTCTCTAGCCTTTCCTTTACTTCCCTCCCTTTCCCTCTCCTCCCCTTTGCCTCCTCCCAGGAAATGACTTCCATGCCTGCCGGACGCTCCAAGCCATGCTGTATCAACAGCTTCTGAACCTTCCTACTGCTCTACGCTGTTTCCCCTTCACCAGATCTCCCCTCTTTTCCCCTTCCTTCCGCTCTCCTCCTCCCCCTTCCAGGAAATATCCTCCATGCTTGCTGGTCGATCCAAGGCGCGCTGGGGCAACTGCCTCGGAACCTTCCTGCTGCCCCTGCCTGTGCACTCGCCGGTACTCACCAACGGCCTGCCGACTAGAAACGGCAGCAGCGACAGCAAGAGCAGCAACGGCACGCAAGGGGTGAATGGAATCCCCAAGAGCGAGCAGGCGGCAGGGGAGGCGGAGGGAATGGTGCAGAGCAAAGAAGGGGGTGCAGCAGGGGAGGTGGAGCAGCGGCGGCTGCGCATGGTGGCGAGCATGTGTGCGTCCAAGCGGCAATCTCTGGAGGCTCATTACAACTATGTCAATGCGAGACTCGTGCTCGCTACTGCCGGCATGAAGGTGAGTGAGCTGTGTGTCACTGAGGTGACCTTTGAGGCGCCGCAAAAGGCTGCGCATGGTGGCGAGCATGTGTGCATCCAAACGGCAGTCTCTGGAGGCTCATTACAGTTATTTCAATGCAAGGCTTGTCCTTGCTACTGCTGGCATGATGGGAAGCTGTGTCTCGCTGAGGTGGCTTTTGAATCGACCCAAAAGCCACTGGGGGCTCATTTCAGTGTCCATGTAGAGACTTGTGCTCGCTCGCCCCCTTTTTTTTTCTCTTGTACTACGCTCGGTTCGACTTTTTTGCAATCTTAGGCAGCAAGGGCACTGATGCACCGCCTGCGCCACCTCAGGTTGGGAGGCCTGTGGCACATCTCCTTCTCCAACATGATGGGTCCCATGGAGGAGGCTTGTCTCCTCAGCACATACCTTATTTCCACCCCTTTAAACCTCTCTCAACTCCCGCAGGCAGCATGCACCCTGATGGGCGCCTGTTGGATCAGACGACCATCTCGTTTTCCAACATGATGGGACCCGTGGAGGAGGTCAGCCTTGGGGGGCATGCCATCGAGCACATCAACCTTCTAAACCCCTGTAAACCCTCTCTAAACTTTTCTAACCCTCCGGTAAACCCTTCCAGTCAGCGTGCACGCTGATGGGACGCCTGCTGGACCAGACAACCCTCTCCTTCTCCAACATGATGGGGCCCGTGGAGGAAGTGAGCCTGGGGGGACATGCCATCGAGCGGATCAGCCCCACCGTCCTGGGACAGCCACATGTGAGTCATGTGTGATGGGTGATGGGTGCGTGTGAGTGATGTGTGATGAGTGCATGTGTGCATGCGAGGTGGCCGTGGAGGGGGTGAGCATGGGAAGGCATGCCATTGAGCGTATCAGCCCGGCCGTCCTGGGACAGCCACATGTGAGCCATGTGTGATGGGAATGAGGTGACTTTTGAGTGATCATGTGTGATTGGTGCATGAGTAATCGGACGATGATTGCACACGAGGTGCTGTTGGGGTCTGTGGCGGGGGTCAGCCTCGGGGGGGCATGCCATCGAGCGCATCAGCCATCGATGCCGTCGAGCGCATCAGCCCCACCGTTGTGGGTCAGCTGCATGCGAGTGATGTGTCATGGGTGTATGTGAGTCGTGGGTGCTGGGCTGGGTGTATGTGAGTCATGTGTACTGGTGGTATGTGAGTCATGTGTACTGGTGGTATGTGACTCATGTGTACTGGTGGTATGTGAGTCATGTGTACTGGTGGTATGTGAGTCATGTGTACTGGTGGTATGTGAGTCATGTGTACTGGTGGTATGTGAGTCATGTGTACTGGTGGTATGTGAGTCATGTGTACTGGTGGTATGTGAGTCATGTGTACTGGTGGTATGTGAGTCATGTGTACTGGTGGTATGTGAGTCATGTGTACTGGTGGTATGTGAGTCATGTGTACTGGTGGTATGTGAGTTGTGGGTGCTGCTGGGTGTACGTGAGTTGTGGGTGCTGGGTGTATGTGTGTGAGTCATGGGTGCTGGGTGTATGTGAGACATGTGTGATGGGTGCATGTGGGAGTGATATATGATGGGTGCATGAGAGAGTGATGTGGCATGGGTGGATGTGAGAGTGATGTGCCATGGGTGCATGTGAGAGTGATGTGTCATGAGTGCATGTGATGTGAGAGTGATGTGCCATGGGGCAGCACACATAATACTTTTCCCAGCAATCACTCTTCCCCTTCCCCCTCAGGCACTCACGCTGCATTTGCAGACATACAATGGGACGGCACACATAGTGCTGTCAGGTGTGAGGGAGAACCTTTCGGATCCAGCCTTTTACCACAATCCCTCCCCCTACCTTCTATCTCCCTCTTCCCCCTCCCCCCTTTTCAGGCACTCACGCTGCATTTCCAGACATACAATGGGGCGGCACACATAGTCCTCTCAGCCATCAGGGAGAATGTGCCGGATCCAGCCTTCCTCATGCGCTGCTGTGAAGACGCCTTTGCTGCTCTCCAGGCATCGGTGCATTGAAGCTGCTCTATTTCCAAAGCGCTTCTGCTTCACTAATTCAGCATTTCTTCCAAGCTGCTCCAAGACACTGTTTAGCCTTGCCGCAACCAGGTACTAATTTGGGTTGGTGATGCGACGCCGTGTGGCGACATTCGGTGTTACATGCACGTGGTTTGGGGATAGTTGCATATGTCCGTGCACATGTCATTACAATAACATACTAAAAAACTACTGTTGCGAAACACTCGCTTCAGTTCAGTGCAAGTTGCTTTGTTCTTTCGATTTTGTGTTGTTCAGGTTCATTTATTGGTTTATGGTTCGTTTCTAGTGCTACGCAAGCATACTTCTTGTCAATGATTGAACAAGGATTGCATACCGGTATTAATAACGCGAAGAAAACAGTACTTTCCAAGTCAATATTATGTTGAAGAATGTAGTACAGATTGTATGAATGCCGTTACTTTGTAAGAGCTGTACCTCAGTGTTACACGAGAATGAAGGCCCGTTGATAAGGAAGATGCGAAGCATGGGATAATATCTAGGCGCTTTTCTCCAGCATGGGCTGGCGGCTGAATCCATGGCACCCATTCATTTACCGCCTAGTTACTCACATCTCAGGTGCTTCACCTACGCAGGAGAAGCTTTGGCCAAAGTGAGATTTTCCCTTGGTTTAGATTATGGGAGATCCGGTTTGAATTTTCGTTCATAGGCTCGCGAAAGGCTTTGTAATTCGTCATGATGGACAGCCGGTCCGCAGCTCCTCGCTCGTCAGAAGCGAAATCGGGATCGGATTCGGAAGGAGCAAACGACATGCGAGACGAGGAACGCGGGTGGAGCCCGTCGGAGGGAAGCGAGGGGTCGAGCGACGGCAGCAGAGGCGCGGAGGAGGCGCAGCGCGGAAATAACGCGCGGAGAGCGGCGGCGGAGGCTGTAGCAGAGGCGGAAGAAGATTCAGGCGTGCGGGAAGTGGAGGAAGAGGAACTAGGGGATGAGGCGGAGGCGGAGGAGGGGGGAGGAGGGGGGAGGAGGAAGGGGAGGAGGGGGACGACGATGCGGACGAGCCTCCTGAGGAGTCTTTTCAGCCTTTTCAGTGGCCCGATTCCCCTCCCCCCGCGGCTCTTCCGCTCCCCGAGATGTCCCCCGCGCCCTTGGAACGCGCGCGAGTCACGACCCCATCTGACGACGACGAGGATGATGATGACGTGGCGGATGACGACGATGACGTGGACGAAGATCGCCGCATGGGGCCGCGGCTGCCACGTCGCCCAGCGAGAGCCGCAGGATCCACCGCGCGGGGGACGGCTGTAGCGCCGGAGATGACTGTAGCGGATCTGGAGTTCCCAGGGTCGCTGCTGGGGACGATCATGGACGGGTTGGGCAAGTGGCCTTGGACGGTTTGGCCTAACCACATGCGCTCCTGCCTCGCTGCCGCTGCTCGCATACTCCACGCTGCTACTCCCGCTGCTGATGCTGGTTCTGGTGCTGCTGCTTCTGCTGGTGCGGCTGGTGCTGCACCTGTCGCAGCAGACCCGGACGAGTCAGGTCCTATAGTGAGTCCCGCGGTGCGAGCAGAGGCGCAGCGGCTGATGCGACGCGCTGTGCTGAAGCGCAAGCTGGCGACGCTCTTCAGGGAGGCCGCGCCTAGCCTGTTTGAGAAGTGCCTGGACGACCGCGCGATCTGGAAGTGGGGACGCGACGTGCATGGGAATATCTTCGAGGCGTTTGTTTCCCTTATGGATGTGATTGTACTGAAGCTGCTTGAGTTGATTATAGTGAGGGAGGCTCTGGCGGATGCAGCGGCTGCTGCGGCTGGAGAAGGAGTGGTGGGTGGAGGGGAGGGGGACGGGCAGGGGGAGAGAGTGAGGGAGAGGAAGGAGGAGGTTGAGGAGGCAGAGAGGAGGAGTGTGGAGGTAGAAGAGGAGATAGCAGCGCTTCTAACAGCCATGGCGCAGGGATGGGACAGCACATGTCAGTTTCACTGCAAACACAAGAACGAGCAGCTGCCACGTGTTGCGCCGCGATTGGACCGCCCGTGCTTCTATGCCATCTCCCTGCCCCTAGACCCCGCCCCAATCGGTCCCTCCCTCCCCGGACTCCCTTCCCCCGGATCCCAGGCGGCTGGGGGGAGGAGAGGCGGGGGGGAAAGGGGGGAAGAAGGGGAGGGCGGAAGCGTGGGCTCGCACCAGTGGCTGGTGCGGTTTCTGAACTACTTTGGGCAGACGGCGTATGGGAATGGGTATGGACGCGTGGTGCAGGTGCTTCTGAGGCTCATGTTGGGGTTTGACAGGCAGATCGAAGCACATGCTGCTAGGTTAGGATCAATCAGACAAGAGCACGAACGGCAGCAACGGCACAAGTGGCAGGAGCAGCAGGGACGGCAGGAGGGTTTCGTGGGCAGGAAGGCGGCATTACCACCCTCATCGCCGTCCCCACCTCTTCCCCGCATCCCCTGGCCACGCATGCCTCTGGTGGCTGTAGAGGCACTGCTGCGCCCCCTGGCAACGGCAGCAGAGTTCCTCACCCCTCACGTCGGCAACATGCTGCTGCAGGTAGGTACCTTTTGAGTCCACTCTAAAGTCCCTCCCCTTCTTCCCCGTCTCTCCAACACGCCCCCCTGCCGCCGCGCATGCCTTTGCTGGTGGTAGAGGTGCTGCTGCGACCCCTGGCAACAGCAGCAGCGTTCCCCACTCCTCACGTCGGCAACATGCCTGGTGGTGGTGGTGGTGGTGGTGGTGGTGGTGGTGGTGGTGGTGCTGGTGCTGGTGGTGGTGGTGGGGGTCTCATCATGCCTCATCCCTGTGATGCACGCCTTGATCTTTTTGGCATTTGATATATGTGTCGCCCTGTTTGCTGCTAGCCTGTCACCCTGGCAGCAGCAGCAGCCGAGTTCCCCACTCCTCACGATGGCAACATGCTGCTGCTGGTGGGTGGGGATCGGGGCTCACTTCGTGGCTGTCGTCGAGCCTAGCTTGTGACGTCAGCCTTTGTGCTTGATTTGGTGTTATGTTGCTTTCATCTTGTGCGTTCATCTAGTCTGTCTACTTGTGCTGGTTTGCAAGTTTGCTGCGTTCCCTGCTAACGGCAGCAGAGTTTCTCACTCCACACGTCAGCAACATGCTGCTGCTTGTTGGGGTTGGCGCGTTTTGCCCTTTCAACTTCTCTCACTGAATGCACTTCTTAGATACAATTGCTCTTTCCTTGGTTGCACGTATTGCATTCATCTCGCTCCCCTCTCTCCTCTCCACCTCCCTCTTTGTATTCCGGAGCTTCCAGTCTTGAAGATTCCCCTTCCGCTCCTTCACTAACCTCCTCCTTCTGTCTGTTCAACCACGAAGGCTCACCTTCTCTCACCACCGCTCGCTGAAACATGTGGTCACCCTCTCTAACCTCCGCTGTCTGACACACGTGGTCACTCTTCTTCCATACTTCCCTCTCTCTGCGTCTCATCTCACTGGCTCTCTTAAACGTGCAGAGCAGAGCCGTCCTGCCAGTTAGACAAGAAGTATTCATTCTTACCTGCATTCTTACCTGCATTCTTACCTGCATTCTTACCTGCATACTTCTTGTTTCTCCCTCTCTCGGCACTCTCCTCGCTCTCTCCCTCTCTCCCCCCCCCCCCATCGGCCGTGCAGGGCCGTCCTGCTGGCCATAACCGGCAGCGCTGCATCAGCAGAAATCACATGGATTCACTCAACGAGGGGCCCAGGGACGGCTCCTTCCAGTGCCTCTCGCTCACCCTGTTCCCCCTGCCCCCTCCTCCCTCTCTCCCTCACCCTCTCTCCCTCACCCTCTCTCCCTCACCCTCTCTCCCTCACCCTCTCTCCCTCAAGCAGTCCTCTCTCCCTCTCTCTCTCTCCCCCTCCCTCCCTTCCCCACCCCACCCACCAGCCCTGCAAGGAATTGCTGCTGGCCATAACGCGGTGCATCGGCTACCACATGGAATCTCTCAACGAGGGCCCCCGGGACGGCTCCTTCCAGTGCCTCTCACTCACTCTGCGCCACGTTCGCGCGCTGCTCGCCCTGCCCTCCTCTGCTAGTAGCGTTCGCGACATTCTCTTTGACATTAGTCTTGCGGAGGCAGAGGAGGAAGAAGAGGAAGAAGAGGAAGAAGAGGAGGAGGAGGATGAGGAGGATGCTGATGTTGATGATGTGGAGGTGGCAGCAGAGGCAGTAGTGGGGACGGTGCAGAGGCTCATGGTGAAGCGCATGCTGGGAGCGCCATCGTTCAGCAAGCAGTTATCGGCGGCCAGGGAGATCAACCGCATGCTCGAAAGCTCAGCTGCTCTGAAGATGAGGTGAGTGAGTGGTCTTGTGGCGTTCCGGGTGCAGATGATATGAGGTGAGCTGGGGGTGAGGTGAGGTGGTTGATTATGAGTGGGGTAGTGGGGGTGGTGCAGAGGCGCATGGTGCTGCAGCGCATGCTGGGAGTGCCATCGTTCAGCAAGCAGCTGTCAACAGCTGTCGGCTGTTGATGGGTGTGTGTATGGGGCAGCATGGGAGAGCATGGTGAAGCGCATGCTGGGAGTGCTTTCATTCAGCAAGCAGCTGTCAGCCACCAGAGAAATCAACCACATGCTCGAGATTCTGTTGTCTTGTTTATATATGTATATATATGCATATATATATATATATATATATTTGTGGTGACGTGCCATGAGCCATGTGTATGTCATGTGGCTTCTGATACAAGGAAGAGTTTTGAGTAAACTCAGACATGCAAGTTCTTGTTTTGTTCACTGATGCGCCATGTGTGTGTGATTTCAGGGACAAGGGAGCAGCCTTGAGATCAACAATCAATTGGCTGGAGGCCAATAAGATTCTGCCACTTGTCCTGCGCTCCAACCTGCACCACAAGCAATACGTGGACCAAGTACGTCCTCTTGTGCGCCCGCCTTGTTTTTGTTGTTGTTGTTGTTTTGTTTTTGTTTTTTTTTTTGTTTTTTTTGTTTTTTTTTTTAAACATCTAACTAATATGGTGGAATTTCCTCCCTCCCTGTTTCGCACCAACTATCGGTCGTGCGAATCATGAGGGCGCTGTTCAACCAGCGCTGCTCAACCAGCGCCGCTCAACCAGCGCCGCTCAACCAGCGCTGCTCAACCAGCACTGCTCAACGCCGTGTGGGCCGCGACTGAGAAGCCTCGTCTTATCTCCTTCCCTCTTCCCCTCTTCCCCTCTTCCCCTCTTCCCCCCACCCTCCTCCCGCCCAACAAAACCCCCTTCTTCCCCAGGTCGTGCGAATCATGCGAGCGCTGCTCAACCAGCATCGCCGTGTGGGCTGCCACTGAGAAGCCTCGTCTTATTCCTTCCCGCCGTTCCCCCATTCTCCCCCAGGTGGTAAAGATCATGAGGGCGCTGCTCAACCAGCGTCGCCTGCTGGGGAAGCACCTGGACGCCGTGTGGGCTGCCACTGAGAAGCCTCGTCTTATTCCTCCCTCCTTTCCCCCATTCTCCCCCAGGTGGTAAAGATCATGAGGGCGCTGCTCAACCAGCGCCGCCTGCTGGGGAAGCACCTGGATGCCGTGTGGGCCGCCACTGAGAAGCCCGACCAGTTTGAAGCGGTGAGGCATGGTGTGAAGCGGTGAGGTGTGGTTTGAGTGCGACGAGTGAGATGTATGGGTTGGGCTTCTGTTTTTTTAGGCGCCTTAGCGATTTTCGCGTGGTGGGGAAACATCTGGACAGGGTGGGATGAGGCAGCTGAAAAAGCTCAGGTGACCCGAGGGGAGGCCGTGCAGGCGAGCCAGGGAGAAGCAGTCGAGAATGTCCAGGTAGTGAGGAGGCATTCATAGAGCATCATGGCGTGGCGAAGCTAAGCTTCCCCTCATTCCTTCCTTCCTCTCCCTGGCAGGTGAAGAACAAGCTGCCATTTGACCTGCTGGCGGAGCTAGCCTGGTCCTTCCCCTATGATCACCTCGACTCTCTTTCCTCCCCTCCTCATGCTCCCCCCCTCGACTTCCCCCTTATTCCTTCCTTCCTCTCGCTGTGCAGGTGAAGAACAACATTTTCGATCTGCTGGCGGAGCTGGCCTGGTCCTTCTCAGACGAGCAGCTCGACTCGCTCTTCTCACGCCTGCAGCACATCCAGGTGACCGCTGCTCTCGGATGACATGCATGAAACATCACACAGACAGTGAGGCATGATTACCTCGACTCGCTCTTCTCACGCCTGCAGCACATCCAGGTGACCGCTGCTCTCGGATGACATGCATGAAACATCACACAGACAGTGAGGCATGATTACCTCGACTCGCTCTTCTCACGCCTGCAACACATCCAGGTGACCGCTGCTCTCGGATGACATGCATGAAACATCACACAGACAGTGAGGCATGATTACCTCGACTCGCTCTTCTCACGCCTGCAACACATCCAGGTGACCGCTGCTCTCGGATGACATGCATGAAACATCACACAGACAGTGAGGCATGATTACCTCGACTCGCTCTTCTCACGCCTGCAACACATCCAGGTGACCGCTGCTGCTCTCACGCCTTCCTTCTTCATGCATTTGCATGACTTGAAAAGAAAAGGACCACTCTGCCAGTGTCCCATGGTGGAATGGCATGTGCGTAGCCTCGTAGGCTTCTCTCCAGAGCCGAGCCAAGCTTCACACATGTGAGTGGGGTGGGTGCAATTGTTTGTTATTTTAAGCCAAGGCACATGAACGAACCCACCCACTCACATGTGTGAAGCTTGTGCTCTGAATGTGTATGCAACGTGCCACCTCTCTGCCTCTGAATGTGTATGCAACGTGCCACCTCTCTGCCTCTGAATGTGTATGCAACGTGCCACCTCTCTGCCTCTGAATGTGTATCCAACGTGCCACCTCTCTGCCTCTGAATGTGTATGCAACGTGCCACCTCTCTGCCTCTGAATGTGTATGCAACGTGCCACCTCTCTGCCTCTGAATGTGTATGCAACGTGCCACCTCTCTGCCTCTGAATGTGTATCCAACGTGCCACCTCTCTGCCTCTGAATGTGTATGCAACGTGCCACCTCTCTGCCTCTGAATGTGTATGCAACGTGCCACCTCTCTGCCTCTGAATGTGTATGCAACGTGCCACCTCTCTGCCTCTGAATGTGTATGCAACGTGCCACCTCTCTGCCTCTGAATGTGTATGCAACGTGCCACCTCTCTGCCTCTGAATGTGTATGCAACGTGCCACCTCTCTGCCTCTGAATGTGTATGCAACGTGCCACCTCTCTGCCTCTGAATGTGTATGCAACGTGCCACCTCTCTGCCTCTGAATGTGTATGCAACGTGCCACCTCTCTGCCTCTGAATGTGTATGCAACGTGCCACCTCTCTGCCTCTGAATGTGTATGCAACGTGCCACCTCTCTGCCTCTGAATGTGTATGCAATGTGCCACCTCTCTGCCTCTGAATGTGTATGCAACGTGCCACCTCTCTGCCTCTGAATGTGTATGCAACGTGCCACCTCTCTGCCTCTGAATGTGTATGCAACGTGCCACCTCTCTGCCTCTGAATGTGTATGCAACGTGCCACCTCTCTGCCTCTGAATGTGTATGCAACGTGCCACCTCTCTGCCTCTGAATGTGTATGCAACGTGCCACCTCTCTGCCTCTGAATGTGTATGCAACGTGCCACCTCTCTGCCTCTGAATGTGTATGCAACGTGCCACCTCTCTGCCTCTGAATGTGTATGCAACGTGCCACCTCTCTGCCTCTGAATGTGTATGCAACGTGCCACCTCTCTGCCTCTGAATGTGTATGCAACGTGCCACCTCTCTGCCTCTGAATGTGTATGCAACGTGCCACCTCTCTGCCTCTGAATGTGTATGCAACGTGCCACCTCTCTGCCTCTGAATGTGTATGCAACGTGCCACCTCTCTGCCTCTGAATGTGTATGCAACGTGCCACCTCTCTGCCTCTGAATGTGTATGCAACGTGCCACCTCTCTGCCTCTGAATGTGTATGCAACGTGCCACCTCTCTGCCTCCTCCCACCCATTCCAGGGTCACATAGACAGCAAATGGCAGAAAATCAAACCTTCGGAGTTGAATTTGCTTTTATGTCGACTAAAAAAACCTCCTACCCATTCCAGGGTCACGTAGACAGCGAGTGGCAGAAAATCACTCCTTCTGAGTTGAACCAAGCCGACTTCTTTCTTCCTTCCCCCCCTCTCCACCAGGGTCGCTCAGCAGCAGACATCGCAAAGCTGATGCAGCTGGTGGGAAAACCAGGCATGTGAGGAGAAGTCCTCACCTCACATTCCTATTTGAATTTCCTGAGCTGATCTTAGCCCGCTTCTTTGCTCCTTCCTCCCCGCCCCACCAGGGTCGCTCAGCGGCAGATATAGCGAAGCTGATGCAGCTGGTGAAGAAGCTCGCGCGGTCCGACACCCGTGGCGTCATGGCCTCCAGGTGATTTTTCGTGGCTTTCAGGTGATGTTTCGTTTAGGTGAAATTTGTAGGTTCTGGTGAATTCCTGTGGCTTTCGTGCCTGTCAGTTGGATTTTAAATGCAAATGGTGCAGCAATCTGCTGTACTCTCACTTTTCACAGCAGAGCTGGTGCCTAATTCTTTCATTTTCTACTTTTCTTGGAGAGATGGGACCCTCCTATTCCCTCCTTGCAGGCTGCTCCAGCCAGCTGCTCTGGACGCTCGTGTTTGACCCGCCTCACACCCACTCAGTTCCAACAGGGTCAGCATCATCAGCAGCAGCATCGGCAGCAGCATCAGCATTGGTATCCACTCATTCTTCTGTCCCATCTTCCCCCCTACACTCTCCATACAGGCTGCTGCAGCTTCTCTGGACACTCGTATTCGACCCGCCTCACACCCATGCAGTCCCAACGTCAGGGTCAGCGTCAGCATCAGCACCAGCATCAGCAGCAGCATCGGCAGCAGCATTGGCAGCAGCAGCAGATGTTGCATCAGTGAACGTGCTTGAATCGAAGGCCCTCACGGAGGTGTTGGGCCACTATGCTTCTGTTGGGTGTGCTAATAAAGAGGTGGGACCCTTTCACTATCAATTTTCTGGTTCGTGAGTAATATGTTCTTTCAGGGGTTTGTTTTTGTGTTCCATTTTTTGTCCATGAGTGCTCTCAGTATTTCTCCGTTTTCTTCTTTCCCCCCCATGATACACTTCTCAGGAGTAATGCAGTGCCTGCCTGCAGACCTTCCTTTTCCCTTCTCGAAAAAGGGAGTGCTATTTCTCTTTTCTCCACACACTCCATCCCTCCCGCTATTTCTTCCTCACTTCCCATTCACAAGAGTACATGCAGCGCTGCCTGCAGGCCATCTCGCGGGAGGAGAGTGTCATTCCTCCTATTCTCATTTAACCCCCTCCCCTCCCCGTCCCTCTCTCCTCCCCCCTCCAAAACCCCCCTTCCCCTCTCCCCACCGCGACCCCTTCTTTCTCTCTTACAGGAGTACATGCAACGCTGCCTACAAGCCATCTCGCGGGAGGAGAGTGTCATACCAGCCCTCCAGCTGCTGCGAGAGATCATCTCTCTGCACCCCAACCCCGCTCCACCTGCTGAGGTGATTCTTCAACCCCCTTGCACTCCTGCATTTCCCCTTCCTCCATGTGCGGGAGATCATCTCTCTGCACCCCAACCCCGCTCCACCTGCTGAGGTGCTGCTCTCACCGCCTTGCACTCCTCCGTTTGCCCTTCCATTCCTTTTATTCGGAAAATCATCTCTCTGCACCCCAGCTGCGCTCCACTTGCCGAGGTGCATGTGTGTTACTGTGTGTGTGTTTGTGCAGCATGCAAGTGTCCGTGTGTGCAATTTGTTTCCGTCTTGTTATGAGCATGTTAAAGTTGCTATTGCTAGTCATGTCAACCCCTCCCTACCTCACTACTGCATGCCTCTCGTTCTTGCATATCCTCACCTCATGCCTTCCTCATTCCGTGTATGCGTCATTCCTTCGTTGCTCGTCTCGTGTGTTGCAGGAGCAGCAGATGCTGCAGGCTCAGCTGCAATCGCTGAATGCAAACCACGAGCTCGAGTACACTGTAAGCATGCATGCATTCTTGAGGGTGCAGTTCGGAAAATCATCTCTCCGCACCCCAACTGCGCTCCACCCCAACTGTAAGGATGAATAGGAATTCAAACCACGAGCTTGAGTACTTGTAAGCATGCATGCATTATTGAGGGGCCTCAAAATGGCAAACCATGAGCTCGAGTACACTGTAAGCGTTCGTGCATGCAGTCGTCATACTGCTTTAGTAAGAAATGAAGTACATTACAACACTGTACTGTAGGCATGTGTGACGTGGAATGAGTTGCATGAGCAGGTTTTTATTTTCAGTCTTATAGATAAACCAGTGCTTCATGACTCCAAGGTCTGCTTGTGCCACTCATGAATGGCACGCTAGCAATGAGAGCACAGGAAGCACACATTGTCTGCATTGAGACCTGAACCCCACGCAGTCTGAGATCCTGCTTGCCTCTCTACGCTCTTCCAGCCATCAAACTCTTCCTTTCCCCTCTCTTCCTTTCCCCTCTCTTCCTTTCCCCTCTCTTCCTTTCCCCTCCTCTCCTTTTCCTTTATCTCCACTTCCCTTCCCACTCCCTCCTCCCCCTTGCAGGTACCGGGCAGTCTGCAGACGTACAAGGGTCTGGCCCGCTCCCTGTTCCCTTCCACATGCTCTTCCCCTGCGCTCAACTCCCCTTCCCCTTTTGTCCTTTTCTCCTTTCCTCCCTCTCCTCCCCCTTGCAGGTACTGGGCAGTCTACAGACCTACAAGGGCCTGGCCCGCTCCATGTTCGCCTCTGCACGCTCTGCCTCCCCCCACCAACCACAGCCCATGACTGCTCCAAGCAAACCTCTTCCAGTCAGCCCCGTTCCACCCAGCAGCAGCAGCCCACTACCAGTTCCAGACGCCAGCGTCTTGGCCAGCAGTGACGGCAGTCCCATGCATGGCGTGGTGGTGGCGGAAGAGGTGAGGCAGGAGTGCCGTGGCGGTGGGGTTGCGGCAGAGGAGGAGAGATCGTCGCCCGCTATGGACTGTGACGAGCCGCAAGGGCAGCAGCAGCAGGAGGAGCAGCAGAAGCACGGGCAGGAGGGGCGGCAGCAACAGCAGCAGTGCTCGCAGCAGCAGCAGCAGCAGCAGCAGCAGCAGCAGCAGCAGCAGCAGCAGCACGTGCAGCTGCAGCGGCAGTTGGAGCAGTGCACGTTGGTGGATGGCAGGCACTCCCACCGCGACAACATCACTGCCCGCCTCTCCTTCCTCCTCTGGGCGCTGCAGGTGCTTGCTTCCCCTCTTCTTTTCGTCATCCTTTCGTCGAGAACTACGGGTGATATGGACTGAGCTAGTGGAGCACCTATGCCTGCCTTCTCAACACCCTTCCTGAATCTTTTATAAACCCCTTTTTAAACCTCTCACCAACCCCCGAATCAATTTCCTCTTGAACCATTCTCAAACCCCTCCCAAATCCTTTCTAAACCCTTCTTTAACCCTTACCAACCTCCAGGCGGGCGGCATGGAGCTACAGACAGAGGGGCTGGGGTGATTTGGACGGAGTTAGTGGAACACCCAGCATGTCTTCCCAGCTCGTCAAGGACCCGTACCTGCTGCACGCCTTTCTAAACCCCTTCATAATCCGTGAAACCGCAAATCTCTACCAACCTGCAGGCTGGAGGCATGGGGCTTGTTAGTGGAACACCCAGCATGTCTTCCCAGCTCGTCAAGGACCCGTGCCTGATTTCTCAGCACACCATTCCAAACCCCTTTCTACACCCAAAACCTCTACCATCGTGCAGGCAGGCGGCATGGAGTTACAGCCAGAGGGGCTGCGCGTGATATGGACGGAGCTAGTGGAGCACCCAGCGTGCCCTGAGGACCGCCAGCTGGCGCTGAGGTGGCTGTGTGATGCTGTGGAGGGGAGGGAAGGGGGGGAGTGGAGAGGAGAGGCGGGTGGGCGGATAGGGGAGGTGGGGAGTGTGGGCACAGGGGTCGGGGTGGTGGGAGGGGCCGTGAGCTCGACGGGACAGGTGGCGCTCTTGGATTGGTTGACGCAGCTGCCTCCGGAGCAGTTCTCGCCCGTCGCTTGGAGGTGGGTGAGCTTTGCAGTGCCATGCATTGTGTGTAAACATTGCATTTTCTTCTACTTCTTCTTCTTTTCATTCTTTCTTTTTGCACATTACTTCTTGTTTCTGCTCCTTGTCACTGCGATGACCACCACCATGCATTACCTGCGAATGCTGCTTCTCCTCCCCCCCTTTCCCCTTCTCCACCCCATTTTTCCTTGCTTATTCAGTGGTTCTTTTTGGAGGCTTCCTGCCTGGGTCTAATGTGTCAATACCCCGACCCCTTCCCTCTGTCGCACTGACAATCACGTTCCTTCTCTATTTCTTTCCAACCGCATGATGTGCTGCCTCTCTTACCCACTCGCCCCGTACCTCTCCCTGGGCTGTACCAGGGTCCTCTTCCTCCGCATGAGTATCAGCATCACCACAGCATCAGGCCGTTTGATATGTCTCATAAGTCACTCGGTTGCTTCCCCTTCCCTCGCTCTACCAGGCTCTTCCACCACATTTTCATCCGTGCCTCAAAACTTGTCCTATAATGCACCCCCTCCTCTCCCTCACACTCTATCAGGCTGTTCCACCGCATATTCATCAGCATCAACACAGCATCAGGCGTGCTCGCAGTCACCTCAGCAGCACCCGGAGCAACACCAGCACCAGCAGCGACAGCACTGCCAGTAGCAGTAGCAGGGGCAGCATCGGCAGGCGCGGGCGTGCAGGTGGCAGTGGCGGGGGACGTGGGGCAACTGAAGGGAGTGGACCTCGTGTGGTCACTGGCTCTCCGCTGCCCCTCTCCTGCCATCTGGCAACCCTGCATCCAGCTGCTCAGGGACTTACATTCATCCCTTGTAGCTCCGGAGAAGGTGTGTGCTCCTCATGCTATTACATACCGTCACAGTGTTGCCTTCTAGTGTCACATCATTGGGTCTCGTGTGGTCGCTGGCTCTCCGCTGCCTGCCCCTCTGCCGCCATCTGGCAGCTCTGCATCCAGCTATTAAGGGACCTGCACTCCTCGCTTGTAGCCCCAGAAAAGGTAGGTGCCGCAGTGTTGCGAGGGAGGGCGTGCAGGTGGCAGTGGCAGGAGACGTGGGGCAGTTGAAGGGAGTGCAGCTCGTGTGGTCATTGGCTCTCCGCTGTCTCTCCCCTCACCTTCCTTACTTGCCAACCCTCTCTACCCCCTCCCTCCAGGCCAAGCTAGTGGCGGTACGGCAGAGCTTCATAGGCGAGTGCATGCTCTCCCCTCCATTCCTCCCCACCAACCCCATTTTCCCCTTACCCCTTCCTTCCTGCCCAACTTCTCCTATTTTCCAGGCCAAGCTGGTGGCGGTGCGGCAGAGCTTCATAGGCGAGTGCATGCGGCGCCTTGCTGCTGCGATGCAGCAGCTGGAGGGAGGGACAAGTGCGGGGTATAACGGGCAGATGTTGGGAGGGCATAACGGGGACGTGAAAGGGAGAAGCGCAGGAGGAGTGGCGCCCACTGGGAGGGATGCGCTGCCCATGGAAACGAGTGCGGAGGAGAGTGATGGCGGGGAGAGGACGGGTGATGCAAGGGATGGCGGCGGTGATGATGTGGCAATGGCTGGACAGGAGGATGAGGGTGGGCTGGAAGCAAGGGAGGAGAGGGAGGTGGGGGGTGCAAGGAGTGGGGAGTTGAACGGAGAAGGCACAAGGGGTGGCGAGGGTGGCAGGGGCAGCAAGGGTGGCAGTAGTTTGGAAGGGCAAGCTTCAGCAGAGGAGCAAGCACAGCGCTGCCTTTTGCTCTTGACAGTAAGTGCGAGAGCAGCACATAGGAGGGTAGGGTGAGTGAGCATGGAGGAACAAACAACCTGCAAGTGTGCAACAAAAGACACGCCTTCCATACATATGGATGTGCACAAATTGCATCACATGCACTCCTCTTCTTCCGACATGCACTCAGGCCTACTGCTTTTCTATAATTCCTCCATCGCCTCCCCTGCCCCTTGCCCTTCTCTCCCACTTCCACTCCCAGCAATTCCTCATTCTCTGTGAGGCTTCCTGCCCTCGCAGGGTGCCACCCCACGGTGCTACCTACCAGGACAGGCCGTCAAACAAAGGCCTGCTCCCCTCTCTGCCTCCCCCATCAAAAACCGCCCTCCACCCATACACCCTTCCCCTCCGCCCACCACACACCCCCTTCCCCCCCTCCCTCCCAGCAATTCCTCACGCGCTGTGAGGCCAGCTGTCCCCGCAGAGTGCCGCCCCACGGCGCCTCCTACCAGGGCAGGCCGTTTCAAGTGGAGGTGAGATCTGAAACAGGCCATTTCAGGTGGAGGTGAGATCTGAAACAGGCCATTTCAGGTGGAGGTGAGATCTGAAACAGGCCATTTCAGGTGGAGGTGAGATCTGAAACAGGCCATTTCAGGTGGAGGTGAGATCTGAAACAGGCCATTTCAGGTGGAGGTGAGATCTGAAACAGGCCATTTCAGGTGGAGGTGAGATCTGAAACAGGCCATTTCAGGTGGAGGTGAGATCTGAAACAGGCCATTTCAGGTGGAGGTGAGATCTGAAACAGGCCATTTCAGGTGGAGGTGAGATCTGAAACAGGCCATTTCAGGTGGAGGTGAGATTTGTTCGTTGCTTTATTTAATTTTATTTTCTTTTCATTTTACTCTTCAGCTGTACAAACACAGCAAGCATGATAGGCTTATCGTTCATGCCCCATCCGATCCCACCACATCCCATCACAAGCAGGTGACAGTGGCACACAGCAAACATGTGAACTTCTTTGTTCACACGCATGCAAACGAGTACCTGCGCTTGCTGCGACTCAAGGTGGGCTACAACATACATGTGCATACATAAACGTCTGTTTGTTTAATGTATTTAATATATATATATATATGTATTCTGATGGAATCGGTTGCACTGTTCTTTTCCTGTTCCCCCTCTTTCTCTCAGCTTGCTGAAACTATTGCCCTGACTTGCGTTGACCTGCCTTGACTTGCCAGGTGGCCCACAAGCTCGAGTGTGACTTGGCGCGTGTGCGGCTGCTATTGGACGGCCATGAGCTGCTCTCTGATTGGCTCGTGCTCCGGCAATGCGGGATCACGGACGGGCGGCGACTCATTGCTTCTGTCATGGTGTGTGGTTCAGTTACAATGATTGTAGGTGTGTGACTGTAACGGATGCACTCTTAGGCTATTCCTGAACCGCCTAGAGGATTGTGTTCTTTCATTGTCTTTGTGTGATTGTAATGGAGGTGCTCTTAAATGTGACTGCATGCCTCTATCTTCGTTTTCTTCTGCTCCTCTCCTTTCCGGTGCAACCCCCCCCCCATGCCTCCTCTCGTTCCAGCTGAATCCCCGACCTCGCAGCAGGCAGCAAGGGGAGGGAGGGGAGGCAGAGCTTCCGGGAGTGCTCATGGCACGACAGGGGGAGGTGGGTTAGGGTTTGAGGGGAATGGGGTCGGCAAAAGGAAGGAGGATGTATTTGAGCGAGAAAAAGGGAAGGGGAGAGCGGAGTGGCAGGGCTGCGGGGCGGACGGGGGGGATCACATGCTTGTGATTATCCTTGTTGTTTCATGTTCCATGTCACTTTTCTTCCCTCACGCCTTCATTCAAAGATGTTTGACCTTGTGATTGATTGGCTCTTCAATGATTGAACCAGCCCGCCGGCTCTGTTGTTTGTTGTTGGGAAATTGTCTCCCTGCATGGCAGGTGTACGGCATTCCCTTCCGTCTGATTTTTTTAGTCAGACTCGATTTTCGATCGACTAATGAACCAGCTTGATATTTCTGAGTTTGGAACCGTTTCTTTGCGTGCCTGCAGGTGTACGGCACTCTCTTCCGCCTGCTTCAATCCGCCAACCATCAAGTGCAGCAGGTTTGTCTTCCTTGAGTCGCTTCTTCAAAAGTGTATTGAGTGCAACAGGCTCGTCTGGTGTGTTGACTCGACTCCACCCAGACCTGACTGAATCCAATTTGTTATGAATTGTCTGGTGCAACAGGCTCGTCTGTATTCGAGTTGATTTACAACCCGATGCTCATGTCTAGCGTCCACCCACTCCCTTCCCTTCTTCCCACCCCCCTCCCCTGCCTCTCCGCACATCAGGCAGCGGACGAGCTCCTCATGCTGCTGCCAACACACCGCGCCATTCTTGACAATTTCATGGTCAGTCAGTCGCACTCACACAGGTGTTCAATTCTTTGTCAGTGTTTGAGAATCGTTTTGTAGTCGTCAGTCGCAGGAGCTGTTTATCTCTTGTCGATCGCGCAGTTGTGAAGATTTGATTCTTGGTCGGTGGGATCTGATTCTGCCCAGGTCGCTACTACACCTGCATCCGCATGGGCCTATGCGTCATGGACAGGTGCATGCATCACCACAGCACACATACACCTGGTCACAGTGACCTGTCTCTCCTATATACCCTCTCCCTGCACCCGCCCTAGATTTCATACTCTCTCATCGTCTCCCTCTTTCGTGTTCTCTCCCTCACATCTGACCACTGACTGTGACTCCCCCTGCAGAGCATCCAGTCAGCGCCATCAGCAGCCGAGGCTGCAACCATTCTGACGCATCTCCTGCGTCCCTCGCCACGCCTTGTTTATACGCTGCAGGTGATTAGGATTTCCTTGTTTGAGGGTGTAGCAGTTTCCGGGTTTAAGGGTTTAGCGCGACTGTCAGGCACGCTACTGCAGGTGATTAGGGTGGGGTTTCAGGGTTTAGAGCAATTCGCCAGGCACGCTACTGCAGGTGATTAGGGTGGGGTTTCAGGGTTTAGAGCAATTCGCCAGGCACGCTACTGCAGGTGATTAGGGTGGGGTTTCAGGGTTTAGAGCAATTCGCCAGGCACGCTACTGCAGGTGATTAGGGTGGGGTTTCAGGGTTTAGAGCAATTTGCCAGGCACGCTACTGCAGGTGATTAGGGTGGGGTTTCAGGGTTTAGAGCAATTCGCCAGGCACGCTACTGCAGGTGATTAGGGTGGGGTTTCAGGGTTTAGAGCAATTCACCAGGCACGCTACTGCAGGTGATTAGGGTGGGGTTTCAGGGTTTAGAGCAATTCGCCAGGCACGCTACTGCAGGTGATTAGGGTGGGGTTTCAGGGTTTAGAGCAATTCGCCAGGCTCGCTACTGCAGGTGATTAGGGTGGGGTTTCAGGGTTTAGAGCAATGGCCAGATACGCTGCTGCAGGTAATCACCATACTTCGTCGCTTGCTCACTCACTGTTCCAAGCTCCCATCTGTTAACCATAATTCTCTCATGCATCAGCGCCCCATTCCATCATCTTCCCATCCACCCATCCCATCTGCCCCTTATGCCCGTGTGCCTCCATGCATCCCACCACGCCACTCACCACCAGGTGCTGGACGGGCTATTGCTGCCTGTCAATCGCCAGCCCTCGCCTGCCACCCTTCGCTTCCGAGCGAGCTTTCTCCAGTCCAGTGGCTTCAGGTGACCTTTCAAATTTTGTTGTCTGCCCAAACGAATGCATGACTTGTTAGAGCTAGACCTCAATTTCAACTTTTGTACTTGTACGTTTATATCCTAGCGTTGTGTAGATTGCACTGTGTTTGGTTGGGTGTACACACACCCACATCCCAACCAAACCCAAATGTGATCACCAAGCAATCTCCAACCCACCAATTGGACATTGCCTTGGGATTGCCCTTGATCCCCTAGGGATTTCCTCAGATTCCCTCCTCATCCATTCCTTGCTCATTTCGTTTGTACTTAGAGAGCTTTGAGCTCATTACTAAACCCCAAAGCTCAATTCTTCTGGCTCATGGTTTCATATCCGCATCGTTTCAGGGCATGTGTAGTCTGATTGGTTTGTAGGTGTACATGTCCAGGCCTGGTTCTACCTCTCTTTGCTCTGTACCGTCTTCTTCTCACTTCTCCAAAAACCACACCCGTACTTTCTCTCTTGTCAACAACACCCGACCTCCTCTCCCTCTCACCTTCGGAACGCCCCCCTCGTTCTCATCCTTCCGCAGTGCCCTCATGTCGCCCCCCTTACTAATTGGCCACTCTCTCCTCTCCCTCCTCCCCCCTCTCCATCCCGCCTACATCCTTCCGCAGTGCCCTCATGTCAGTCTTTCAGACCCAAGCCCTGCCGCGTGCAACGGATGACAGCACGAGGCGGAAGTGCTACATGAGCGCCCTGCACATTCTGAAGCTCCTGGTGAGTGTCTCTGTTTGCCGTGCCCTTGAAAAGTTTCTTCTCCTCTCCTTAATTCGATGTGTGTTCGCCTGTTTCCATCGTGCCGTGGCCCCCCAAACCCTAACATGTTTCAGCTGTTTGGCGATCACTTTGGTGGCGCCTCTAGCACAGCACCAGGCCTCTGGGAGGACTGCGAGGAGGAAGGCAGCGACGAGGAGCAGCTGCCAGATGCCGCATACACAGCCGCAGCAGCGGGTACTGTAGCAAGCACTATAGAGAGCATTGTGGGGATCACTGTAGCGCGTACAGTGCCAGTGGCGGCCGCCCCTCTCCTTGCCACGGCACCTGGCAATTCGTCTGAGCCAACCTGCCTCATCCGGTGAGCGATTCTCGATTTTATTCGACTCAAAAAACAAAATCATTCTGTTGTGCCTTCTTCGAAATGGCTGCCAGCAGCCACTTGGTGTCTTTTGAGGCACTTTTTAAGCTGCCAGCAGCTTCTCGGCCTCTTGTTCTTTCTTTGTTAACTATTATGCGATATCTATCCAATCAGCTCTTCTATTCTTCTCTGGCCTTTGCTGAGGTGAATTTTGGGCTGGACTGATTGGAAGTATTGTTTTCTTTATTTATTTATTTATTTATTTATTTCTTTCCTTTCTTTCTTTCTTTTCTTTCTTTCTTTCTTTCTTTTATTTTTTGTTGGAGCCAAGTTGTCGCATCTGGTGAGGTGATTCATTTCCTGTGAAACCTCTACCTGTGCCTGTGTGTGGCTTTGGTGTTGTTCCCTGCAGGGCGGATGGCACAGTGGTGGTTGCGGAAGCAAAGAGGGTGGGTGAGGGGATGGACGAGGGGGAGGAGGAAGACGTGGAAGTACAGGACATTATTCTGGATAACGGGGGACTCACTGTAGATACTTGTGAAAATGCTGCCAATAAAGGGGTTGTTCCTAGCGAGGACGCCCCAGCTCCTCAGCCTCCTGCAGCAGGTGCTACTGGAGCAGCACAAGCACCAGCACAAGCACAAGCACCAGCGCAGCAAGCAGTGGTAGAAGCAGCTGCTGTAGACTCGCCAGCAGCCGCGACGGCAGCCCCTGTTCCGGCAGCAGCAGTGGCCCATGTGCCTGGAAGGGATGTGCCGCCATTTGTAGCAGTAAGTCTCATTCCTCACCGCTTTCTCCCAGCTTCACCACGCTGCGACACCAGTCTGCTGCTCTGATCCACCTCATTTTTGTCCCATGCGTTTTGTTTCTTTAGGCGTCTAAAAAATTATGATGCACCCTCAGTTCGGTCTCGTGCGTTTTGTTACTTGCACGGGGAGAATTATAACTGATTCCTCTCCTTACTGCCCCCACAGATCATGGATGCGCCGTCTACCCTGCTGCCGGCTGATTGGTCAGAGCTCACCAATACCATCATGATGCTCGCCTGGGCGGCATCGATTGGCTCTTTGCAGGCCATGGCGTCACCCAATCCGCATGCATTCGATACTGCAGCAGCTGTTGCTGTGAGTGAATTGTGCACGGTGTATGTATGTATGCGTGCACACAAGAAATGTATCCATGCAGAGCTGCATGTGTGCATGCGTCCATGTGTTGATGCATGCGTGCATACCAAATGTGCATGCATGTTAGTGGTTAAAATGTCCTGTTGTGCTTGTCAAATACAAGACTTTAGGCGCCTATAAAATAATATTTTTGCTATATTGTCCTCTTGTGCTCCTCAGAGGCAAGCCCTTGCAACGCATACCTACATACATCATGAATGTGTAATGCATACCTACATACATCATGAATGTGTAATGCATACCTACATACATCATGAATGTGTAATGCAACCCACACCTGCAAAAACCCATGTCAGTTCGCTGCTCCCTGATTCACCTGTAGGGCTCCCTTCCAAATTTCATCCTTCTTTTTACACCCCTCTCTCCTGCTCTTCCCTTTCATCCCTCCCGTCCCTTAACTGTCTCTCCTGTTTCTCCCACCTCCCATTGCTCCCACCATTGGCAGCACCTAGCCCTGCAGTCTGGGCTAAAGCAGCGGGTGGAGCAGGCCGGCTCGGGGAAGAGGGGAGGGGCGGAGAGCGATGAATCAGAGGACGAGGATGATGAGGAGGAAGAGGATGAGGACGGGGCGGATTCACTGTTATATCCTGATGATGCGTGCCTGGCGATAGAAGGAGCGGTGGTGCTGGTGAGTGTGGGGCTTGGGGGAGTGATGGAGAGACGCTTGGGAGGCGGATGAGGACGGGGCGGATTCACCGTTGCATCCTGATGATGCGTGCCTGGCCATAGAAGGAGCGGTGGTGTTGGTGAGTGTGGGGCGAGGAAAGTGATGAACAGAGGATTAGGAGGAGGATGGGGAGGATGAGGACGGGGCAGACTCACTGTGACATCCTGATGATGCTTGCCTGGCGATAGAAGGAGCGGTGGTGCTGGTGTGTGTGGGGACTAGGAATGTGAGGAACAGAGGATGATGGGGAGGATGAAGCTGCCGACTTATTGTTGCATCTCGACAATGCGTGCTTGGCGATAGAAGGAGCGCTGGTGCCGGTGAGTTTGGTGTTTTAGCCCTTTCTCCTCTGCTCCAACAAATCCCCTCCCCCCCCCCCCCCCCCCCCCCTCAACACCTTCCCCCGATTTTTTCACCCCTCTTCCTTTTCTTCCTCCTGCAAAAAGCCCTCTTGTATTTGTCGACTTCATTCGCGCTCTTTCTAAATTGCAAGTGGCTGCACACCTTGAAAAAAAAAATTCTCAGTCATTCGTTTTCCCCACTTCCCCTCACTCCCTTCCCCCCCCCCCCCTTTTTTTCTTCTCTTGTTCCCCTCAGTCAGAGTGCCTGGGTCGTCGGAGAGAGATCGCCACCATCCTCTTCTCCTCTCACTTCCCCTCGCTCCCTCCCTCCCCTGACTCTCCCCCCCACCTCCCCTCCCCCCTCCCGCCCCCACCTCCTGTCTTCTTCTCTTGATATCACAGTCAGAGTGCCTGGGTCGTCGGAGAGAGATCGCCACCATCCTCTTCTCCTCTCACTTCGTTTCCCGATTCATTGTTGTGAGTCTCGTCCCGTTCATCGTACTCCGTCCATTCCATTCGTTGCTTCAGCTAATTGAGCTTCAGCTATTAGACATGTATTAAATGGATAGTTTTTTCTACTTCATGCTCCCTGCTTCTCCTAACGTTTCTTGCTCCCGCCTATCCACTCCTGATTCTCTGGCCATTCCATCCTCTTCTTCACATGCTGGCACCCCCCCAGGACACCTGCTTGCACTGTCCAGAAACTGAAATTCGATACAAATTTGCAGAGCTCTTTCTTCACATAAGGTACTGCGTTGGTCCACGTAGACGGTAAATATCTTTCTATGTTCAGTTTTTTTTTTTCCTTTACTTTTCTACCCTGATGTTCACCCTTACAAGATGTTCATCTATCTTTAGCATTCTCTCAGCCCAGTCACCCAATCTTCCTGTTAGCACCACGCCAACACACACATCTCATGTGATCGTGCCATGTCCTATGGCGTAATCAACCTTTTTCCTTGTCCTCCCTCATGCTCCTATTCTCCCACCCACCCGTCCTCCCAACAGCCTGGAAAAGTGGCCGCCACTCCCCTCCTCCACCACACAGCCAGCAGCACCATCAGTCGCACCAGCTTCCACAGCACTACCAGCAGCAGCAGCAGCAATGTCATCGCGAGCAGCAGCAGTGACAGGCCAGGCTGGTGCCACTCTCGGCCTCCCAGGCCATCCCTCACGCCCCTTCACATCCATCCACTCCTGCATCTTCCACTCCCTCGCCTCTGCCCGTGCTGCTGCTGACAAGCAACCAAAACACAACAGACCAGTGAGTGCACAACCTGGCAGTGAAGATCAGTGAGAAGCGGTGGAGTGGTGGACAGGAGCGTTGATTCACAATGCTCTTGCTATTTTTGTGGTGGAGGGGACCCCTCCTCTGTTGACGTCTCTTTATCTCTCTCTCCTCTCATTCACTTCCACTTCTCTCAACCCCCCCCCCCCTTCTCATCCCCCCTTCTCTCAAACCTCCCCGCCCCCCTCTCATCCCCCTTTCTCTCAACCCCTCCAGTACTGGGAGGGGGCAGCTGTGCAAGGTGGTACATCCACTGGTTGCTCCTATGCGTCATTTTTCCTCGTTTGACGTCCCATGATCTCTCTCTCTCCTTCCCTCTTACCCCCCCCTCCCCCCCCTCCAGTACTGGGAGTTGCTATGCAAGGTGATGTATTCAGGTGTTGTACTTATTCGTCGTTTCTCCTCTCCCTCTCTTCTCATCCATCACCCGCTCCTCCCTCCCCTCCAGCACTGGGAGTTGCTATGCAAGGTGATGTATTCAGGTGTTGTACTTATTCATCATTCTCCTCTCCCTCTCTTCTCATCCATCACCCGCTCCTCCCTCCCCTCCAGTACTGGGAGTTGCTGTGCAAGGTGGTGCAGGGGGTGTGTCTTCGAGACGAGGAGGAAGTTGTCAGGAAGCTTCTGGACGAGGAGATTCGCTGGCTGCAGCACGTGACATGGGGAATGGATGGCAGGGAAGAGGTGAGGGGAGAGGTTGTGAGTAGAGAAAGAGAAAGGTGGAGGTGAGGAGTTGAGAGTAGAGATGAGCAACGAACCAAACTCTGGTTCGGTTCGGTCGAACGTGCTCGATTGCACTCCAACCAAACCGAACTTCTGTTTTCCCCAAAAATGTTCGGTCAAACTTCGAAAAAGTTTGGGCGGGCCAAAGTTGTTTGGTTCTGCCCCTGACAGATAATCTCGAAAGGTTCGACTGTTCGGACAAGGCAGGTTTCAATTCAGGAGTAAAATGAAATGGACCCTCAAACCGAAAGTTTGAGTTCGGCCGAACGCTAAAAAGTTTGGCCAAACCGTTTCGGTTTGCCCTAGTACAAGCAAAGCAAACCTCGAACCCTAAAAAGTCTTAAAGCAGCAGTATACATTTGACAGTGTGGTTTAGGGTTTTACAGTCTGCCTCACGATTTCGGCCCCAACATGTACCATTTATGAACGGCTGGCACTCGCCCTGCCAAATGGTAGACTGTAAATGCCCAACAGTATACTGCTGCTTTGAAGAATGTTCAACCAAACCTGTCCAGTTCGGTTTGGCTGAATGTAAACGTAAGGAAAAGTTCTACCAAACACATTTGAGTTTGGTTCGTGCTCAACTCTTGCCGCGAGGAGCGCCTTCTCCTAGGAAACTTCAGAGGTCTGGGAATCCTGGAGGTCCTCGGGGATCGCTGCTCACGATCTCATTATATTGATATACATAAGTGATGCGTCTACAGGTCGCACCAAGGAGATGATATCTGTGAGGTAGGTTGATCGCTTGAGGGTCTAGGTATGCTAGGATATAGGCTGACGTACATTTAACCCCTTTTATGTACTGCAGGGACCTCTGACATAAAGAGGTTAAGTGTATATCACCTTATATTCTAGCATACCTAGACCCTCAAGAGAACACCCTACCTCACAGAGAGATCATATACGGTAGCCTCTTAATGCGACTTATAGATGCATAACTTATGCATATCAGTTCTGGGAGATTGAGAGCAGAATTTCGAGGACCTCCAGGATTCTTAGACCTCTGAAGTTTTCCAGATTCGTGCTTGCATCGTGAGGCGAGGACGGAGATCATTGAGGAGAGGAGGCTCGGGGAGAAAAGGTGCAGAGAGGAGAGAGGAGGTGTGTTAGAGGGCCCTACAACAGCAAGGGCCCTCGATCACCTTTGACTTGGCAGGTCGACGCCTAACGACTGAGTCTACTCGGCACCGATGAATGAGTTCAGTGAAGGTCGGGTGTGACTACGTGTGACTATGTGCAACTGCGCAGGAGTTCGCATGAAGAAGCGAGAGTTCGTGGGAGTCGTTGGTGCTTCCTTGAGAGTCGCACCACTCCTTGCTGTGTTGGTGGAGTGGTGTGCACGGAAGCGAGAAGTCGATGCTGAGTTGGGTTGGGAAATTGGCGAGGCGCGTTCGCTCACCTACACACCACTTTCGTGGGGTTGGGTTACTCGCAGCGCCCACGCAACCTCTTGTGAAACCCTCGCCTGCCTATATATGTTTGTGTTGCTTGTGTGTTTGATATAATTATACATGTTCCTAGTGAAGTCCAAAATGCTACTTCAATTCTCACCAAGTCCTTAGAGGCAAATGCTACCGAAACTCTACCAAGTTGCTGGCGCAACATCATTCCCATAGCAGAAACTCTCTCGTTATCGCTACGCTCTCTAATAGATTCCTTCAAGGTGGGGATGGAGGAGGAAGAGGAGGAGAGCAAATATGGAAGAAAGGAGAGAGCACCAAAAAAAAAAAAAAACCTTCTCTCCTCACCTTCTACGCTCACCTCATCTTTCCTCTTCCCAGCTGTTGGATTGGAAGGCCATCTGCTGCTGCTCAAAGTGCAGCTAGAGGTGCCAAAGTGCTCATTCCTAACAGAGCTCACTGTGTTCCCTGTACTTTCTGGCCACATCCTAGCTGCTGGAGAGCCATCTGGAGGCGCTGCTTAAAGTGCTGGTGGAGGTGATGGATTGTTGTTGCTGCTCCTCAAAAAGCGCTCATCGAGGTGTTGGGATGCTCCCTGATCATCGAGGTGTTGGGATGCTCCTTGATCATCGAGGTGTTGGGATGCTCCCTGATCATCGAGGTGTTGGGATGCTCCCTGACTTAATAAACCTAACAATGCCAACGATTTTTCTCCTCCCTTGCCATGTATACCTCAGCTGCTGGAAGGCCATCTGCTGCCGCTCAAAGTGCTCGTAGCGGTCCTCGAGTTCTCTTCTCACTTCTTACAAGCTTTACCTTATTCCCTATGTGTTCTTGCCACACCGCAGCTGCTGGAGGGTCATCTGCTGCTGCTCAAGGTGCTCGTGGAGGTGCTGGAGTGCCGCCCCCTCGTGGCCTGCTCTCCACCCCACGGCCATGGGCTGTTGCACCTGGTACGCTGTGTGCTGGGGGGAAGGGGGGCGGCATGATGAGGGGTTTGATGTCCATGGTCTCCACCCACCCCTCCGCCTTTTGAGGCGCCTCAAGAGGGGTTTGATGTTCATGGTCTCCACCCACCCCTCCGAGTTGACTTTTGAGTCGACTCAAAAGGTTTGATGTTCATGGTCTCCACCCACCCCTCCGCCATGGACTGTTGCACCTGGTAGTATTGGGAGGGTGCTGTGTGTTGAGAGAGTGTGTGGCCGATGCCGCGTTTGACGTTTATGGGTGTCCTTCACCCCACGGCCATGGGCTGTCGCACCTGGTATGCTGTGTTGTGAATAAAAATGGAAGAGGTGGAAAGTGATTCTATACGAATTTTCAGATATTAATCGAGTGAGTGCACAGTTCTTTGGTTGAACAGCGAGAGCTAAAGAATGTTCCCTCCAACAGTAGATGCCATTGCTGGTACTTACCATGTGGGCAGATTTCTGATGTTTCATCAATTTGTTTGTTCCCTTTTCCTGCCGTACCCCGCGTCCCTCTCCCGCCCCCCCCGCCTTGCAGCTCATCACTCGCTGCCTCTTCCCCGAGTGGCCGGTGGTCGTTCCCAGCCACCAACAACAACAACCGCCACAGCAGCAACAACACCACAACCACCATCACCACCACCACCAACAACAACAACAACACCAACAACACCGACAGCAACAGCAACAGCAGCAGCCAGCAGGCGAAGCCTCGCCTCCCACGACCTGGGGCCTTCTCTCTGCCAGCCCCCACGATGCTGCAGTCTTCCGCCCCCTCTGCTCCGCCTCGCCCTCCCGCAACGCTGCCTTCACCCTCCTCCTCGCCCTCTGTGCCAAGGTATTTGTGTGTATCATGTTACTATTGAGCTTTCAAACTGTTACGGGTGATGTTGCTGCTACTTTTGAGTATAATCGAAGGCTCCGCGCCCACTCCTATCCTCGTCATCCTCTCGCAATGCTGCATTGACACCCCTCCCCACCCTGCGACAATGTGAGCCTGATGTTAAAGTGCTGTAGGGTTTCTGAGAATCTCAAGAACAACCTACAACATGAAGTTACTGAAGATCACGCCTCCTCACAACCCCCCTTCTCATCTCAGGCCCGCCCGTGTCCTCCTCTTACCGCCCCCTCTCCCATGTCTCCTCTATGCAGATCGCAGAAGCCTTGAAGGAGCTCACCTCTCGATGCCCCACTGCCTGCACTTTGGCTGAGCTTTGCGGCACCTCACAACACTTCCCCCTCGCAAACCCCCACCCCTTATCCTGTTACCGCCCCCTCCCCCCTGTTTCTTCCATACAGACCCCTGAAGCCCTACGAGAGCTCGCCTCGCTGCTGCTGCCGCTGCACTTTGCCTCGGTGGAGCACGAGTTGCCTTCGTGGGAGTACCTCCCCAGCTGCGCCCCCCGGCCACGTGTGGGATATGCAGGCCTCAAGAACGCAGGTGCGTGGCAAGGCAACAACACAACTAAGTCTTGTCTTGCATGCACTGCGCCAAGACTAGGAGACCTTGCCGTTCCACCGACGCGAAGTGCAGGTATGGTGCAATGCATGCATCTCCTGCTCTCACAGTGACTTGGTCCACTCTAGCTGCACTTCGCCTCTGTGGAGCACGACGAGTTGCCATCGTGGGAGTACCTCCCCAGCTGCGCCCCCCGGCCTCGGGTGGGATACGCGGGACTCAAGAATGCAGGTATGTAGCAAAATTGTCGGCCGTGCAATAATGCATGTACAACCTGCATGCATTCCGTCAAAATTAGAAGACCTTGCCGCTGCTCTCAAATCTCAGAGTAGGGGACCTTGTGCGCTTTGCCTCTCTGGAGCACGAGCTGCCGTCATGGCAATACCTCCCCAGCTGTGCTCCCCTCCCCGGTCACGTGCAGCCTATTCCAGTCTCAAGCTATGCTGCTTGCACCTGACGCTCCAAAATTGGAGCGTGCGACATGAACAGTGTATTCCAGCATGAAATTTCCAGCGCCTGTTGCATGAACAGCATGAAATGTCTTCATGGAGCCCCCAGCGCCTGTTCAGTCGACTCCAACGTTGAGGCTACCTGTTTCCTTCCCCACTTTGTCGCTGCTTTACCTGCCCCCAGTCCCAGGAGCCACGTGCTACATGAACAGTGTGTTCCAGCAGCTCTTCATGCAGCCCCAAGTGACTTTAAAGTTGCTGAAACGATTAATTCTTTGACCCCCATTTGAATGTCTTGTCCTCCCTCTCACCCCAGGAGCCACGTGCTACATGAACAGTGTGTTCCAGCAGCTCTTCATGCAGCCCCAAGTGACTTATAAGTTGCTGAAACGATTAATTCTTTGACCCCCATTTGAATGTCTTGTCCTCCCTCTCACCCCAGGAGCCACGTGCTACATGAACAGTGTGTTCCAGCAGCTCTTCATGCAGCCCCAAGTGCGCCGTGCCCTCCTTGCCTTCCCTGAGACACCCGAATCGGACCGACCTCTGTCTGTGATTTACCAAGTGCAGGTATTGTGTGGGGCTTGTGCGTTTTAGTGGAGAAGGCTCTTAAGGGGTACAGACAGCCTGCAGTAAATTGCACGCTACAGGCACTTTGGGGGACAGCAAAGGCATGCCGTCCGTGATCTGCAGTGCAGTTTATGCGCGGAACTGATGCCTTATACTGAGACAGGCTGTAAAAGGTACAGACAGCCTCCACTGCAGTGCAATTTGCGGGCATTCTTTCAGTCTCTTTTTGGAAGTTCTAAAAGCTATCCAGGCATACACAAACGTGCTATCCCAGCAAAGACAGACTTAATTTGTTTCCTGACCTCCCTTCCTCTCACCCTTTCCGTCTTCTCTTTGACTCTTCTCCACTTAATCTCTTCTCTTCCCTCTTCTCCCATTCTTCCACTGCAGGCCATTTTCAGCTATCTGCTAGCAGGCTGCCCTGACTACTTTGTTCCAGAGGGCTTCTGGGATGCCTTCAGGGACTACGACGGGCAGCCGGTGAACCTGAGGGAGCACCAAGACGCGTTTGAGTTCTTCAACCGGCTCTACGACTCGCTGGATGAGAGCATGAAGGCACAGCGGCATTCCCCCACGCTCACCTCCATTTTTGGCGGACATTTTGCACAGCAGGTGTGTGTGTGCGTGGGATGGTAGTTCCTGCAGCATGCTTATGGTATGTATGTGTTGGACCGCCTTTGAGTTCTTCAACCGCCTCTATGACTCTCTGGATGAGAGCATGAAGGCACAGCGGCACTCCTCCACAGTAACTTCCATATTCGGGGGGGCTTTCGCCCAGCAGGTGCGTGTGTGATAGTAGTAGACCAAGGTGTATGCCTGTGTTTCGTATGGGTGTGGACGGTTTGAGTTCTTCAACCGCCTCTATGACTCTCTGGATGAGAGCGTGAAGGCTCAACGGCACTCCCCCACACTGACTTCTATCTTTGGTGGCGCGTTCGCTCAACAGGTGCGTGGTGTGGTGCGGTGGGAGGGGCAGGGGTGGGTGTAGTGTAGTGTGATGTGGTGTGATGTGGTTTGATGTGGTGTGATGTGGTGTGATGCCTATCCCCCCCTATCTTCTCCCTACCACACCTCCCCGTCCCCACTTTCAACCACCACCCCCACCCCACTCCTCCTCCCTCCCCGTGTGCTGCAGATTATCTGTCGGAGCTGTCCTCATCGCAGATCATCTGTCGAGGCTGTCCTCATCGCAGTGAGAGGGAGGAGTCATTTGCAGCAGTGAGTGGGGACGTGACGGGCAAGCGCGGGCTGCAGGAGTCACTAGAGGCTTTTTCCCCCCTTTATCACCAGAGACGCATCTCCCTCATTCCCTCCCCTCCCCTCTTTCCCCTGTGCAGATCATCTGTCGAGGCTGCCCCCATCGCAGTGAGAGGGAGGAGCCATTTGCAGCAGTGAGTGTGGACGTGAAGGGCAAGCGCGGGCTGCAGGAGTCACTAGAGGCGTTTGTGCAAGGGGACTTGCTGGAGGCAGATAACGCCTACTTCTGTGGGCAGTGCGGCAAGAAGGTGAGCCGCAGCAGGGTGGGTGGGTGGGGCGGTGGGTGGGTGGGTGGGGCGGTGTGTGAAGAGCACAGAGCGCCACAACGCTTGCGCTGTGTCTTTATGTTGCTGCTTGCAAGGCGACTTGCTGGAGGCAGATAAGATAGCGCCTACTTCTGTGGGCAGTGCAGCAAGAAGGTGACAAGCAGCAGCGGTTGTGGGGCTGGTGGGTACAGGGCTTGTGAGTCAAGCAGAAAAGCACCACAGCTCTCCACAATGCCTGCATGGTGCCTGGCAAAGGGGGCCTGCAGGACAGGAGTCGCTAGAGGCGTTTGTGCAAGGCGACCTGCTGGAGGCAGATAACGCCTACTTCTGTGGGCAGTGCGGCAAGAAGGTGAGTGGCAGGGGATGGGGTTGTTGGTGGGTGGTGGTGGTGGTGGTGGTGGTGGTGGTGGTGTTTGTGAGGGAAGTGTGCAGAGCCGCTCTATGCCTTCACGCCCATTTGAGCCACCTAAAGAAGCCAAAATCGCTCCCCATTTTGCCCCTCGTTACATCCCTCCCTCACTCACCCCTCGTTTTACCCGTACTGCTTGCTGCAGGTGGACGCATTGAAGCGTGCAAGCATCAAGACCCTCCCATTTGGGCCACCCTAATGAAATCAAATCCTCATTCTGCCTGCCATTGTTACGCCCCTCGTTTTTCCTGTACCATTTTCAGGTGGACGCGTTGAAGCGCGCATGCATCAAGACTCTGCCGCCCACCCTGATAATCCACCTGAAGTGCTTCGACTTTGACTACGAGACGATGCAGCGGCTGAAGCTCAAACATGTCCTCTGCTCTCTGCCCTTGTTGTTTACTCCACCCTCCAACACCTCCGTTGCCCTACTTCCTTCTCCCTTGCAGGTCGATGCATTAAAACGTGCGTGCATCAAGACCCTGCCGCCCACCCTGATAATCCACCTGAAGCGATTCGACTTTGATTATGAGACGATGCAGCGGCTGAAGCTCAAGGACCGATTCACCTTCCCCCTCTCTCTCAACATGCGGCCGTTCACCCGCGAAGGGCTTGCTCAGAAGGAGAGAGAGCAGAGAAGGGGACGGGTAGGGGGTGCAGAGGGGAAGGAGGAAGGGAGGGACGAGGGGGGAGAGTTAGAGCAGGGGCGGGAGGAGGGAGAGGGGGAGGATAAAGGAGGTGAAAGCGTGAAGGAATCCAGAGAGGATAGGGTTGAAGGGGCTGTGGAGGAGAAGGGAGCTGGAGGTGGGGAGGAGAGGAGCGACGGGTATTATGAGTACAGCTTGGTGGGAGTGGTGGTGCATTCTGGAACAGCGTTTGCGGGGCATTATTACTCGTACATCAAGGAGAGGAGCGGCGATTCTCCGCTGCATCACAGTCGTCCATCTCAATCCGTGCGGTCGAAGTGAGTCAAGTGGAGGGGCAGTGGGTGAGACGATGGCTGAGCGAGTCAAACGTGGGTCAAGCAGAGTTGCATTGGTTCAAGCAGAGTTGCAGTGGGTCAAGCAGAGTTGCATTGGGTCAAGCAGAGTTGCATTGGGTCAAGCAGAGTTGCTTTGGGTCAAGCAGAGTTTCATTGGGTCAAGCAGAGTTGCACTGGGTCAGACAAAGTCAGAACGAGTGAAAGCGAGGTAAGCAGAGCTGCAAATGGTCTGAGCGAGTCAACGTGGGTCAAGCAGAGCTGCAGTGGATCCGATCAGACAAAGTCAAAGCGGGTCAAGGGGATGTGTGAGTGGTCGGAAGAGAGTCAAACTAAGTCAACGGGAGCGAGCGGCATCAGAAGGTATGGCGGCCCATGCATGCATGTGTGAAGATTTAAACTCATTCTCACACCCCTGTTGTGTGCAACATCTCAACCCCCATGTGTGTGTGCAGGCAGCGGTGGCTGTGCTTCGATGACAAGCGGGTGGAGGCATATGACGTGAGAGGGCTGGAGAAGGCATGGGCTTTGGGGTCACCACGAGGGTGCACTCATACCTGCACATGCACTTGTGCCATCCCCCTGTGTGTTCTTACAGGCAGCGGTGGCTGTGCTTCGATGACAAGCGAGTGGAGGCGTACGACGTGAGAGAGCTGGAGAAGGACTGCTTCGGAGGGAAGTACTCCGCTGAGGTGTATGACAACCTCATCAAGACCTCGTCGCCACAGGTGAGTAGGAGCAGCCTCAGGTGAATGAAGATTTGGTGACAAGGTAAGAACGGTTGCAATACAGGTCACACTAGCAAGGGAAGTACTCCGCTGAGGTGTATGACAACCTCATCAAGGCCTCGTCGCCTCAGGTGAGTGTGTTTGGTGAGACAAGATTGTACTCTTCCGTACACGTTAGCAAGCAAGGGAAGTACTCCGCTGAGGTATATGACAACCTCATCAAGGCCTCGTCGCCTCAGGTGAGGGATGCTTGTTGCTCTCGCAAGTGGAAGTAACCCGCTGAGGTGAGGTGTACGCCAACCTTATCTAGACCACGTCGCCTCAGGTAAAGGATGCGACCTCACTCTCAACCACCCATTTCCTCACTCTCAACCACCCATTTCCTCACTCTCAACCACCCATTTCCTCACTCTCAACCAACCACCCATTCTCTCGCTCTTACTCACCCATTTTCTCACTAACTCACCCTATTACTTTCTCACCCACCCATTTCCTCACTCTCACCCACCCATTTCCTCACTCTCACCCACCCATTTTCTCACTCTCACCCACCCAGTTCTTACTGTCTCCCTTTCCTCATTGCCACCCACCCTTTTTCTCACTCAGATTACCTATTACCTCACTTCCACTCGCCCATTCCTAAACCTTAAACCCTGTCTTCTCACTCTCACTCACTTGTTTCTTTCCGCGCACCCTTTTTCTCTCTCAGCGCTCTTTCCACCCACATGATTTCGACCCCCCCCCAAGAGCGCACACATGCTCTTTTATGAGGAAAACTCCCCCACCCCTGCAGCGAGTGCATGCTATTCTCTCTTCAATTGCGTGTATAAAGTGTCTCTCGGTTGTCTTCCCCCCCCCTTCTGCCCCCACAGGAGTTTGACCGGCCCAACAGCGCGTACATGCTTTTCTATGAGCGAATCGCTCCCACTGCTGCTGCTGCTACCAGCACTACCAGTGCTGCCCCTGTGGCCGCCAATACCACGGCATCCACCACTGCCACAGGTGGTGCTGCCAATACAGCTGCAACTGCAGAAGGGATGAGGGCGACAGGAGAGGCGCCAGCAGCGGCAGCCGCAGCAGAGACAGCAGCAGGCGCCCCAACCATTACAACCACTGCCATCACCATCACCCCATGCACAGCAGCAGAGGAGAGGGCGGATGGAGCAGTGGAGCCGTATAGCATCCCCCCCAGCATACACCACTGCGTGTGGCAAGACAACCTCAGGTAGGGGACAGGACAACCTCATGTACAGGAAAAGGGAATTCGGTAGGTAGATCAAAAGTAGAAGTTGCTGCTGCACCACCGGTGGTTGGGGCGCCTGCTACAACAGCCCACCTCAAAGCGGATCACATCCATATTCCTCAAGCTACTTCCCCCTGCCCCCTATCTATCCGTTCTTCAGGTTTCAGCACCATTAGTCATGTCTGCTCAGGTTCGTGGTTGTTTTTTAGTGAGGCACCTTCAAACAAACCCCCATCCTTCTCCTGCATGTCTATCTATCCTTGTGCGTGGCAGGCTTACAGTAGGAGTCACGGACATTGAGCCAAATGTACTTTCTCTTCAGCTATGCGTGATTGAGGCACCCCAAACAAACCCCCTTTCCCCCCCCTCCTTCCATTCCTCTGTCTATCTGTGTGCATGGCAGGTTTCAGCAGGAGTCACGGCTATTGGATCAGACATACTTCCGCTTCCTGCTGCAGCTCGCACGGGTCAACCTCGACGTCTTTCAAATGTCAGTTCAATTCGACCCACCTCCCCCTTACTTGGTCACCGTCTGTTTCCTGCCCAACATGTCGTGAGAAAGATGATGTTCGAGTCGAGGCACTTCGAGTGTTTTACTCTCACACTCCATTGCTTTCCTCCGTCCACCAGGTGCGACCATCGAGGCAAGATGGCGGCATTGTCAGACGCAAGGGCAGGCGGGGTGAAGGCGTCACCACAGCGCAGCGAAGCACTGAGGGTGGAGCGAGCAGCAGCGGAGAGGACGGGTGTGGGCTTCAACAGGTCTCGCTCAGGGTCCATTCCTTCACTCCGAAATATTCCTCACCACTCCACGTACCTTCGCTCCTCCACTGCAGGTGCCATGACCGAGGAAAAATGGCGGCGTTATCAGACGCAAGGGCGGGCGGGGTGAAGGCGTCACCACAGCGCAGCGAAGCACTGCGGGTGGAGCGAGCAGCGGAGGAGACTGCAGAGGCGCTGCTGTCGCTGCTGCTGCCGTTCCTCTTCCGCGTCTACCTGAGAGCGCATGCCAGCCTAAGGACAGAGGATCCTCTCTGGACGGTAAGATGGGGGGAGAGAATTGAATGGTATTGAGGGAGAAGTGGGGGGTCTATGTACAGATGGGTACACCCCCACTTCTCCTCAGCCTCTGTCATACAACTGGAGTGATTGTTACAGTTTTCTGACAGCTGTCGGAATCCCCAGGGCGTGCTGTCACACATGCTGGACGCCAACAGCACAGCTGGTCGCCTCTTCAACGCCAGGCTGGCGAGCAACGCTCTGATATGTGTCTTGTTGGCTCAACTCACTCCTCTCCCCTCGCACATTCTCCTCATCCCATTGCAATGCCCCACAGGGCGTGCTATCTCGCATGCTCGACGCCAACAGCACAGCCTGCCGCCTCGTCAACGTTCAACACTTGTGTGCTCCCCCTCATTGTAACGAGGTGACTTTTGAGTCGACTCAAAAGTCTGCTCCCCCTCATTGTTCCATTCCCCCAATACATAACATCACACCACCCCACACCACCCCACACCACCTCACAGGATGTGCTGTCGCGCATGCTCGACGCCAACAGCACAGCCTGCCGCCTCTTCAACGCGTGCATGGCGGGCAACAGGCGGTGGCTCTTGCTCTTCCTCCTCAAATGCCCCATCAACGCCATCTCTGTGGTATGCTTGTGCTGTCCTATGCGCGCCCTCCTTCTCTTTAGGTATGTATCATGTCATGAATGTGGTTTGGTTCGAAGCCCCGTTGATGTCATATCCGTGGTACATGCTATCCACGCCCTTTGTTTATCTGAGGTGGCGTGTGTAGCTGTTCTGCAGGGCAGAGAACCAGCTGCCAGATGGTTTAAGAGGCGATTTTTTTGGCGCCTCAAAAACCATCTCAGGGTGGCGTTTGTAAGTGATCTGCCGGGATGGGAACCAGGTGCCAGATGGTTTTAGAGAGGCTCGGTTTGGTCTCCCCCACCCTCCGTCCACCTCTCCCCTGCTTTCTTCCTCCCCCTTTCCACCAGGCTGTAGCAGACCTGCTGGTAACCAGCTGCCACATGGTTTGCAGGGACTCCATGCACTTCCTCTCACCTTGCACGTTCCCTTCCTCTCCCGCCCATCCGTCCCATCAGGCTGTAGCAGACCTGCTGGTAACCAGCTGCCCCATGGTATGCAGGGACTCCATGCACTTCCTCTCACCTTGCACGTTCCCTTCCTCTCCCGCCCATCCGTCCCATCAGGCTGTAGCGGACCTGCTGGTAACCAGCTGCCACAGTGCCACCTGCTTCCTCAACGCACGCACCCTAGTGCCTGCTGCTGCACTGCCCACTGCAACTCCTGCTGCTGCAGTTGGTGGGGCTCTTGAAGGGTCAGCAGGGGATGCTGCTGGGGTCTCTGGAACAGCAGGGGCAGCAGGAGGGGTGGCAGGGGCAGGTGCAGCGGGGGGGGATGCATTGAATGTGGACGCGTTGATTGATTCGCTGGTGTCGCTGCTGAGAGACGCCAGTGCCCCCTCCTGCCACGTGGACAACGTGAGTGAACTGCTGGCTAGGCATGCTACTGCTGGCTAGGCATGCTACTGCTGGCTAGGCATGCTACTGCTGGCTAGGCATGCTACTGCTGGCTAGGCATGCTACTGCTGGCTAGGCATGCTACTGCTGGCTAGGCATGCTACTGCTGGCTAGGCATGCTACTGCTGGCTAGGCATGCTACTGCTGGCTAGGCATGCTACTGCTGGCTAGGCATGCTACTGCTGGTTACCTTTCTCTGTTTACATTCCCTCGGTTGCCCTTTTTCTGCTGGATACGCTTTTGAGGGAGTAGCTTGCAAGACATTTTTTAGAGTTCTTAGAATGACTCCAACACTGCTGGTAAGCTGTCTGTTCAAGACTCCCCTACCCACCTCTCTCCTGTTGTTTCTGCTCTCTCCTTCCCTCTCCCCCCCCCCCGCAGCTGTGCAGCGTTTTGGTGAAATACGCCCACAATAAAAACAAAAATGCTCCCCTCCTTCCTCTTGCTCCTCTCCTGCCTTTCTGCTCCCCCCCCTCCAGCTCTGCAGCATCTTAGTGGAGTATGCACGCATCGGCCCCACCCAGCGCCTCTCCCTCATCCAGCCCTTCACTTCCTGCTTGTGCCTGACTCTGTGCTCTCCTCTCGTTCCGCTCTCCCCTTTCCCCCCCCCCCCCCCTCCAGCTCTGCAGCATCTTAGTGGAGTATGCACGCATCGGCCCTACCCAGCGCCTCTCCCTCATTCGCAGACAGCTGCCCGCCACCTGTGTACGTGCTGTGAGGTGCCGTGAGGTGCTGTGAGGTTCTGTGAGGTGCCGTGAGGTGCCGTGAGGTGCTGTGAGGTGCCGTGAGGTGCCGTGCGGTGCCGTGAGGTGCTGTGAGGTGCTGTGAGGTGCTGTGAAGTGCTTTGAGGTGCTGTGAGGGCATATCCATGTTCGGGTCATGAGCACTGTTCTGGCTACTGTTTGGGTCATACGGAATTTGCGCATGACCCGAAGTGGGCTGCCGAGCCGCGCGCGGCCGGGTCTTACTAAGGATGTTTCGAACTGTTCTGGCATCCCTCCATTGGATACGACTGTTCGCGAAAACCTTTGCGGCTCTTTGGGGGTCGCATGAGTTTGGAGGACCCAAAGTGGCGTTTTATGTTGTTTGGGTCATCCGCAAATTGCGGATGCCCGGAACAGTGCCCATGACCCAAACATGGATACGCCCTGAGTTGTCGTAATAAGTGCCGTGAGGCGGCCCAGCCTCCCTCTGCCTTGGCTGGTGTTTTGAGACGTCTCAATTCTTATCCACCAACACTTGCCCGCCTCACTCACCTATACTTGGAGAGTGAGCTTGCGTTGACTGCTGGAAGTGCTATTAGAAGTGAGAGTTGGAAGTAACCCGGAAAGAGTATGTTCGTCTTATGCTTTTCCCATTGTGCTTTGCTGTCCTCGATGCCTTCTGCCGGCTCGTCCTACCCTCGCCCCCGTCCCCAGCTGGACTATCTCGCTCGACCGAGTGGGCATTGCAGCAGCAAGGCGACTTTTGAGTCGACTCAAAAGTCACTCCCCCCACCCCCCTTCCCCTCTTACCCATTGCGGCTGGACTATCTAGATCGAGTGGGGATCGCAGCATCAGCAGCCAAGCTCCATCTCTCGCCCCTCCAATCCCCCCTTGCCATCCTCATCTGCTCCTGCCGCCCCCTGTTGTCCCCAGTCTCTTGACTCACCTTCACATTTTCCTTCACCCCGCCCCCTTCCCCTCTCCCCCTTCCCAGCTGGACTACCTGGATCGAGTGGGGATTGCAGCAGCAGCCAAGCTCCATCTCTCGCCCCTCCACTCCCTCCTCTCCATCCTCATCCGCTCCTGCTACCCTCGCCCTCCCCCCTCTCGCCGCCCCACCCCCGCTTCCACCCCTGCATCAGCGGGGGATGTGGGGGGGAATGAGGAGGGGGAAGGGGAAGGGGACGAGGGGGAAGGGGAAGCAAGGGCGCATGGAAGGGGGAGGAGGAAGGGGGAGGGGAGGTTGCATGGGAGGGAGGAGAAGGGCAAGGGGAAGGCGGGGCAGGGGGGAGGAGAGAGGCGGAGGGGGTATGGTGGGGCTTCTGCAGGGGCAGCAGGGGCGGCAGGGGCAGTGGGGGAGGTGGAAGAGGAGGGAGGGGAGGAGGAGGACGCTGGGTTGCAAAATCCGGCGTTTTTTGGCCGCCCGGTGGCGGTGCTGCCGCCCCGTGTGGCTCAGCTTGCAGCAGACCCAGACTACGTCAATCTGCTGGTTAGTAGTTTCTTTCTCTGCTGCTGTGGAATGTTGGTGTGGTAACCATGTCAAGTTGCCAGTAACGTGTTGGATACTCTGTTGGCTGGTGTGGGAAGGATTGCGGGAGGGGATACTCTGTTGCTCATTTTTCTAAATTCTCAAGTATCTGCTTTGCTGGTAACCTCCTCTCCCGTTTCCCCTTTCCTCTTCCCACTCCCCTCGCCCACTCCCCTTCCTTCCCCCCTCCTTCTCACTCCAGATAACATCGAATCTAGACAACCAGGACACCATCTCTCTCCTCCTCTACATCTCCTTTGCTTCTGTCTCCCATTCCCCATTCCCTCTTTCTACTCCCCTCACCCATCCCCTTCCCCCTCCCCCCTTCTCCCCCCTCCCCCTCACGCCAGATAACGTCGAATCTAGACAACCAGAACACCGTCTCTCTCCTCCTCTACATCTCCTTCGGCAACGAGAGCGAAAGCATTGTACGTCTGTTTGTCTCACCTTTCCTCTTGGTTTGTGCAAGGCCAATGAGTTTTCTACAGCATGCTGCTGTCTCCCAATCCAACCCGAAGCCGCACCACCCCTTTCCTCACTGCATTTCCCCCCCTCCCCTTCCTTCTTCCACGTGTGTGTCTGTCTGTGTTTTCATAGACTGCTCACCTCAGCCGCACCACCCCTTTGATAGACTGCTCACCTCAGCCGCACCACCCCTTTGATAGACTGCTCACCTCAGCCGCACCACCCCTTTGATAGACTGCTCACCTCAGCCGCACCACCCCTTTGATAGACTGCTCCGCGAAGCCATGGGCTCTCTGCAGTGTGCTGTTGTCACGTCGTCCGATTGCTCTCTGCAGTGTGCTGTTGTCACGTCTTCCGATTGCTCTCTGCAGTGTGCTGTTGTCACGTCGTCCGATTGCTCTCTGCAGTGTGCTGTTGTCACGTCGTCCGATTGCTCTCTGCAGTGTGCTGTTGTCACGTCGTCCGATTGCTCTCTGCAGTGTGCTGTTGTCACGTCGTCCGATTGCTCTCTGCAGTGTGCTGTTGTCACGTCGTCCGATTGCTCTCTGCAGTGTGCTGTTGTCACGTCGTCCGATTGCTCTCTGCAGTGTGCTGTTGTCACGTCGTCCGATTGCTCTCTGCAGTGTGCTGTTGTCACGTCGTCCGATTGCTCTCTGCAGTGTGCTGTTGTCACGTCGTCCGGTTGCTCTCTGCAGTGTGCTGTTGTCACGTCGTCCGATTGCTCTCTGCAGTGTGCTGTTGTCACGTCGTCCGATTGCTCTCTGCAGTGTGCTGTTGTCACGTCGTCCGATTGCTCTCTGCAGTGTGCTGTTGTCACGTCGTCCGATTGCTCTCTGCAGTGTGCTGTTGTCACATCGTCCGATTGCTCTCAAGTCTGACCCGGCCCTCTTCGTCCCGTTCCCCACCTTCCCTGATTGTGCCCTGAACTGTGCGCGTGTGTGGTTCCATAGACTGTTCTCCGAGGCCATAGAAGCAGTCACGTCGTCCCATGGTTCTCAAGCCTGACCCTCTTTCGTCCCGTCCCCCCCCCCCTCCCCTAATCGTGCTCGTTTTTCACAGACTGTGCTTCGGGAGGCCATGAGCTCATTGCAACGAGCAGCAGTCACATCGTCTCGTCGCATTCTCTCGTTGCTGCTGCACCTACTCAAGCTGCCAGATGCCCTTCAAGAGGTGTGCGCACACATGCTCACCTGCGCACACATGCTCAGACATGCACACGCTAGTAGTATCCCTGGTCCCTTCACACACATGTTCTCTCTGCTGCTGCACCTACTCAAGCTCCCAGATGCCCTTCAAGAGGTATCGCACACATATACATGCGCGCGCACACTCATACGCACACGCACTTCAACACACAATCACTATGATCCCTGGTCCCTTCACACACATGTTCTCCCTTTGCTGCTGCTGCACCTACTCAAGCTGCGAGATGCCCTTCAAGAGGTATGCGCTCACATGCAATCACAGATACGCTCACATGCAGTCACAGATACGCTCACATGCAGTCACAGATACGCTCACATGCAGTCACAGATACGCTCACATGCAATCACAGATACGCTCACATGCAGTCACAGATACGCTCACATGCAGTCACAGATACGCTCACATGCAGTCACAGATACGCTCACATGCAGTCACAGATACGCTCACATGCAGTCACAGATACGCTCACATGCAGTCACAGATACGCTCACATGCAGTCACAGATACGCTCACATGCAGTCACAGATACGCTCACATGCAGTCACAGATACGCTCACATGCAGTCACAGATACGCTCACATGCAGTCACAGATACGCTCACATGCAATCACAGATACGCTCACATGCAGTCACAGATACGCTCACATGCAATCACAGATACGCTCACATGCAGTCACAGATACGCTCACATGCAATCACAGATACGCTCACATGCAGTCACAGATACGCTCACATGCAGTCACAGATACGCTCACATGCAGTCACAGATACGCTCACATGCAATCACAGATACGCTCACATGCAGTCACAGATACGCTCACATGCAGTCACAGATACGCTCACATGCAGTCACAGATACGCTCACATGCAGTCACAGATACGCTCACATGCAATCACAGATACGCTCACATGCAGTCACAGATACGCTCACATGCAATCACAGATACGCTCACATGCAGTCACAGATACGCTCACATGCAATCACAGATACGCTCACATGCAGTCACAGATACGCTCACATGCAGTCACAGATACGCTCACATGCAGTCACAGATACGCTCACATGCAGTCACAGATACGCTCACATGCAGTCACAGATACGCTCACATGCAGTCACAGATACGCTCACATGCAGTCACAGATACGCTCACATGCAGTCACAGATACGCTCACATGCAGTCACAGATACGCTCACATGCAGTCACAGATACGCTCACATGCAGTCACAGATACGCTCACACACGCGCACTTCCACACGCATGCAGTTACATTCCTGGTCCCTTCCCACACTTGTTCTCTCACTGCTGCTGCACCGGCTCAAGCTGCCAGATGCCCTTCAAGAAGTGAGACCTTCATGCACACACCAACACACTCACACACACACACACACACACACTCACACACACACACACACTCACACACACTCACACACACTCACACACACTCACACACAATCACACAGACACACACACACTCACACACACTCACACACAAACACGCGCGCATCCACCAACACACACACACAAGTATCCCTGGTTCTTCCCACACTTGTTCTCTCGCTGCTGCTGCACCGGCTCAAGCTGCCAGATGCCCTTGAGCCATGCGCTTGTATGCGCGCAGCGCTTGTACACACTCAGACACAGACGATCACACACCAGTCCGCAGGCAGAGCAGCTTCTATTCATGCGTGTCCTGCATGTGTGTCCTGACAGGCACGCCAGGAGTCAGTGGTGAACGGCTGCCAGTTCTTCCGCCCAGGCGTCTTCGACCTTCTTCTTGCCAAGGTGGGCATCTCACCTTGCCAGCCAGATTACCATTTACACACCAAGACTATGCCCTCTTACCAGATTAGCCAAGGTGGGCATCTCCCCTATACTGGCTGCCAAGACTATACCCTCTTACCCACACAATTCGTAGAAAGTTCTTGCTTGTTTCGCCACGGCCGCCTTCAGAACCATGCCCCACCTCTTACCCTTATCCTCTTTTCACCTTGCAACCACTCCTCACCCCTCTCAACCCCACTCACCAGCAAGTGTCCCCCCTGAAGCGCTACATACTCCTCAAGTTCTTGCTGGCCTCAGCAGCCCACCTGTTTACTAATAACAGTTCCTACTGGCAACAGCAGCCTTCACCACCATCTCCCAAACCCTCCCTCCTTTCCTCCGCTCCCCACCCCTCTCAACCCCCCACCTTCCCCCACCAGCAAGTGTCTCCCCTGAAACGCTACGCACTGCTCAAGTTCCTGCTGGCAACAGCAGCCTTCAGCACCATGTCGCGGCGCCACATCGCGGTGAGGCGGGCAGACCTGAGCGCCGTGCTGCAATGGCTGCAGGAGGAGACTGCGAATGCGCCCGGGCACGATCTGTCCAATGAGGAGCTGCCATCTGGCACGCTGCGCCGCACTGCCACTGTGGATTCGACCATTGCCACGGGGCTGAGTCTCATCAGCCTGCCACATGAACCCAATGCATGAATCGTATCATCAGCATGCTGGTAACGTGGTAACCGCACGCTGCTCTGCTACTGTGTACTCGGCCATTGCCACGGGGCTGAGTCTCATCAGCCTGCCGCACGAACCCAATGCATGAAGTCTATGCTGGTGACGTGGCAACAGGGTGGGCCTGTGACGTGTGATGTGCATACACCAGTGCCACGTTGCTGACTCTCATCAGCCTGCCACACGAGGCATCCGCCTGAGTGAGCTGCTGGTTACGGAGTAATGTAACACCATGGGACCATGATGACTGGTAACCTGGTGTCCTGGTAACGGGCTGCTGGTTGCTAGTGAAGGGAGCTACCCCTGAACTGCACTGATGGGCAGGAGCGAGCTTGTGGTGCTGCTTGTCTGCACATTTGCAGGAAGCGGTGTTGTCTTGGGCACAGATTCTTCTGCAGCTGCACTTTCTCGGCCTTTCCAAAGTTTCTCTGAGCACTGCAGTGCATATCAACTTTGTAGGAGGAATAGTGCTGGTGGACTGTGGTACACCACACTTGTGTTTATGCTGGTATTTTTGTTCGGTGTAGCATGTAGCACGCCTAATTTGGCACCTCGAGATGGGTCGGAATGGCAATGGCGTATTCATTGTTCATATAGAAGTGCTGCTGAACGTACCATCCAGGCGTGCTGCCTGTAGAGTTGCTATGCATGTAGTGGCATATGGAGCAAATGTATTCCCACACATTTATCCATTCATCGATTTCAACTGCCATATGATGTTCACTTTCAAAAGCTGACAATCTCCCCTCGTTCTTAGGACGCGGTGAAAGTGCTCGATCGGGGATAGATCGATTCGGTCACCGCACTGAACCCCACATATTGGACACGAAAGGTACACAACCTTTTAACCGCACTAAAAAACGATCCTTTGGCGATAGATCCTCCACTTTCACCGCGTCCTTACTGCAGCTAGCGAGTGTTCATGCTAATGATCTTGAATAGAAAAACGCCTGATTGTACACAACACTTCTGCATTCAGCGGAATGTAGTAACGCATTGCTCCGAGTACGCCCAGCGAACTCTTTCGCAGCCACAACCAGTCCTCACCCCCACCTCACCCCACCCTCACGTCGACTCTTGTTCGGTTCGGCAAAAAGTGACGTGTGCTTGTTACGCCCAAAGAACGAAATAATCGGAAATGGAGGCCTTCGCAATACCGCCATCATCCAGGCTTGCTCGGCCATAGCAGGCCAACGAACCACCCCATAGCTAGTAAAACTGTATTTTCGGCCGCCTTTTCCCGCACGTTACGCCACCGTAGTTGCCAACTTGCCACATTGTTCTCCGTTTGTAACTTAGGAATCGCGAAGCCGTCATGCGAGTGGTTTCGCGCGACGCGCTTTTGCGACCGGCCACCAACCCCGCTCTCCCCCCACTCTCCCAAAAGCCTGTACCGAATCCATCCCTGCAAGGCCCGTTATTCGTTCTCGCGTGCGTCGTTCTCGTCGTACTCTCCCTGCAGCTCCTCTCGCCCCCTCGGGAGTATCCCAACGGTCATAATTATGGCGGCGCGGCTGGCAGCGGCGGCCCGTTCGGCAGCAGCGGCGCGGTGCGCAACTTTCCGTCCCCCCCAGACGATAAGGACTTCAGAGCGTTTATAGCGGAGCAGCAGATGCTGGCACATGCTAATAACGTGCACAAGGTGACTGCCACGTGGCACTTTCAGCCTCTCCGTTCTTGTTGAAAGTGCACCTCTCCCTCCCACCTCTCCCTACTGTTTCATACCCTTTCCTACCCCTTTCTACCCATCCCCACCTCTGTGAAAGGCCACCTTTTGCAAGGGAAATGCTGGAAGGGGGCTTCACGGAGAGAACCTCCGCCGTCGCCTCCATCCATGCTCGACAACACCTGTGATGAACTTAAGGCGTCGCCTCGCACATCACAGCTCAAGGTCATGCAGCCCCAGCTGGGCATGCTGCAGAGCCAGCTGGCTGTCCCATCCATTCCGTGCCCACTGCAGGCTCAAGCTGATCGTTCCAATGCCCCGATATTCCCGTTTCTCGCCCTCAGATGAACCTTCGCCATCGCCTCTCACATCACAACTCAAGGTCATGCAGCTTAGTTTTGAGTTGACTCAAAAGTAGGCACATCACAGCTCAAGGTGATGCAGCCGCCCAATCTTGACATGCTGCAGAGCCAGCTGTCCATCCATCCTCGTTCCCCACTTCCAGGCTCAAACGGATCGTTCCAATGTTCCACTTCACGCCGTCGCCTCTCACAGCTAGGCGTCATGCAGCCGCCCAAGCCGGACATGCTGCACAGCCAGCTGTCCCATCCTCGTGCCCTCCGGTTGCTCTAACCTTTCACCCCACCATACCATTCCCTACCATACTGTACCACTCCAATCTGAACCTGAAGCGTCGCCTCTCACAGCTAGGCGTCATGCAGCCGCCCAAGCTGGACATGCTGCAGAGCCAGCTTTCCGTTCTTGCGCCCACCTGTGCTCTAAACTTCCACCATACCATTCCAAACCATATTATACCACTCCCGACTCTCGCCCTCGGATGAACCTCCGCCGCCGCCTCTCACAGCTAAGAGTCATGCAGCTGGACATTCTACAGCCAGCTGGACATTCTACAGCCAGCTGGACATTCTACAGCCAGCTGGACATTCTACAGCCAGCTGGACATTCTACAGCCAGCTGGACATTCCACAGCCAGCTGGACATTCCACAGCCAGCTGGACATTCTCATGCCCACCTGTCCTCTGCTCTACGCTCAAACCCACCATTCCTGTCCCACTCCTCCCATTCCTGTCCCACTCCTCCCATTCCTGTCCCACTCCTCCCATTCCTGTCCCACTCCTCCCATTCCTGTCCCACTCCTCCCATTCCTGTCCCACTCCTCCCATTCCTGTCCCACTCCTCCCATTCCTGTCCCACTCCTCCCATTTCTCGCCCTCAGATGAACCTTCGCCGTCGCCTCGCACAGCTCAAGGTGATGCAGCCGCAGCTGGACATGCTGCAGAGCCAACTGTCCATCCTCGTGCCCACCTTCCCCTGCCCCAAGGAGGAGCGCGTGGGCGTGTGGGCGGACGGCCGCAAGGTGAGTTGGAAAGCGCTGGGAGCGTGGGGAGTGGAGTGGAGGGGTAGCAGCAGCGTGTCAGTGCAATGGGTCTCTTGCTGCAGTGCACAGCAAGCCAGCTCTCCGTGGTAATGCCAAATTTCCCCTGCCCCAAGGAGGAGCGTGTGGGCGTGTGGGCGGACGGCCGCAAGGTGAGGGGGAAGCATCGAGTTGGGGTCGGGGACATGGAGGGGAAAGGGAAGGGGGCGTTGCGTGTTCTTTCAGTTCCCCAAGCTTTCCATCATTTCTAGGATTCTCAAAAGCGGGCATTGAGGGGAAGGAGGGGGGAGCGTTGTTGTACTGTCAAGTTCACCCACAGGGGCCTTTAGATTCTCCCTCCTCCGCAGTTCCAGACTCTAGTTTTCCATTTCATTCCCGTAGTTCCAGTTGCTTCTTTCTCTGCAAACCTCGGTCGGCTCATGTGCTCCCATCCCCATCCCATCCATATCCTCTTCCCTCCCCCACCTTTTTTCCCCTTCCCTGTCTTCTCTTCCCTTGTCCACCTTATCTTCCCATCCCCATTCCTTTTTCCCCCATGCCTCAGTGGCTATGCAACATGAAGACCTTTCTGCCAGATAACCCTGTCGTGTACAGGTGGGTAAGGGGTCTGTATGTGCAAGGAGGAGTGTTTTGAGACGTCTCCTTCTTTCTCGTGTACAGGTGGGTAAGGGGTCTGTATGTGCAAGGAGGAGTGTTTTGAGACGTCTCCTTCTTTCTCATGTACAGGTGGGTAAGGGGTCTGTATGTGCAAGGAGGAGTGTTTTGAGACGTCTCCTTCTTTCTCGTGTACAGGTGGGTAAGGGGTCTGTATGTGCAAGGAAGAGTGTTTTGAGACGTCTCCTTCTTTCTCGTGTACAGGTGGGTAAGGGGTCTGTATGTGCAAGGAGGAGTGTTTTGAGACGTCTCCTTCTTTCTCGTGTACAGGTGGGTAAGGGGTCTGTATGTGCAAGGAGGAGTGTTTTGAGACGTCTCCTTCTTTCTCGTGTACAGGTGGGTAAGGGGTCTGTATGTGCAAGGAGGAGTGTTTTGAGACGTCTCCTTCTTTCTCGTGTACAGGTGGGTAAGGGGTCTGTATGTGCAAGGAGGAGTGTTTTGAGACGTCTCCTTCTTTCTCGTGTACAGGTGGGTAAGGGGTCTGTATGTGCAAGGAGGAGTGTTTTGAGACGTCTCCTTCTTTCTCGTGTACAGGTGGGTAAGGGGTCTGTATGTGCAAGGAGGAGTGTTTTGAGACGTCTCCTTCTTTCTCGTGTACAGGTGGGTAAGGGGTCTGTATGTGCAAGGAGGAGTGTTTTGAGACGTCTCCTTCTTTCTCGTGTACAGGTGGGTAAGGGGTCTGTATGTGCAAGGAGGAGTGTTTTGAGACGTCTCCTTCTTTCTCGTGTACAGGTGGGTAAGGGGTCTGTATGTGCAAGGAGGAGTGTTTTGAGACGTCTCCTTCTTTCTCGTGTACAGGTGGGTAAGGGGTCTGTATGTGCAAGGAGGAGTGTTTTGAGACGTCTCCTTCTTTCTCGTGTACAGGTGGGTAAGGGGTCTGTATGTGCAAGGAGGAGTGTTTTGAGACGTCTCCTTCTTTCTCGTGTACAGGTGGGTAAGGGGTCTGTATGTGCAAGGAGGAGTGTTTTGAGACGTCTCCTTCTTTCTCGTGTACAGGTGGGTAAGGGGTCTGTATGTGCAAGGAGGAGTGTTTTGAGACGTCTCCTTCTTTCTCGTGTACAGGTGGGTAAGGGGTCTGTATGTGCAAGGAGGAGTGTTTTGAGACGTCTCCTTCTTTCTCGTGTACAGGTGGGTAAGGGGTCTGTATGTGCAAGGAGGAGTGTTTTGAGACGTCTCCTTCTTTCTCGTGTACAGGTGGGTAAGGGGTCTGTATGTGCAAGGAGGAGTGTTTTGAGACGTCTCCTTCTTTCTCGTGTACAGGTGGGTAAGGGGTCTGTATGTGCAAGGAGGAGTGTTTTGAGACGTCTCCTTCTTTCTCGTGTACAGGTGGGTAAGGGGTCTGTATGTGCAAGGAGGAGTGTTTTGAGACGTCTCCTTCTTTCTCGTGTACAGGTGGGTAAGGGGTCTGTATGTGCAAGGAGGAGTGTTTTGAGACGTCTCCTTCTTTCTCGTGTACAGGTGGGTAAGGGGTCTGTATGTGCAAGGAGGAGTGTTTTGAGACGTCTCCTTCTTTCTCGTGTACAGGTGGGTAAGGGGTCTGTATGTGCTTGCCCAAGAGACGTCTCGAACGTATTTTTCCCAGATAATACAGTACCGTAGTAAAATATATGCTTCTTGGACGCCCTTGAGGCTAAGCACGTGTTTTTTGTCACCTTGGAGTTTTCCTGCCTCTCACACCCCCTTCACCCTCCATCCCTTCACCTTTCATCCATTTCTCATGCTGCCTCGTTTTTTTCCCCCTCGCCCTGTTCCCCTTCTCCACTACCCCCTATCCCTTCCCTCATATCCCCATTCCCCCTCTTTCCTCCAATCTAAGCCCCCCCCCCCCCCCCCCCCCCCCCACTCTTTCCTCCCAGCATAGGGTCAGGCGGGGAGTACTCCTTTGAAAAGGACATGTTCTTCAAGTTCCCCCTCACGCGTCCGCTCACCTTCGACCCATTCCTCGACCCCTCTCTCGCCTCCTCCATGCAAGCCCTCTCCTTCCTCCGCCTCCTCCCCATCGGCCTCGCCGGGGCCGGGGTGATCGAGAGAGCGAGAGTGGACCGACCGGGAGTGCAGTTCATGACTGTGGGGGAGGTCATGGCTGCGAATAATCACTCCTATGTGGATGTTCTGAAGGTGGATTGCGATGGGTGTGAGGAGGGGTTGGTTTATGATATTAAGCCAGGAAGGAGGGAGGGTGGGGGGGAAGGGGTGGGGGATGGGAGTGGAGGAGGAGGGAGAGGAGAAGGGGGAGGAGGAGGGGAAGGGAGGGAGGAGGAGGTGTTGGAGGAGTTTAGCCGAGTGAAGCCGTTTGGGGACCCGGCGATTGGTCAGATACTCATTGACTTGCACCAGTGAGTGGGAGTGGGTGGGTGGGTGGGTGGATAGGTGGTGGGTGGGCGAGAGAGAGTGGTGATATACGTATCAGAAGCTGCTATTGGTCAGATACTCACTTACTTGCAACAATGAGTGGGAGTGGGTGGTAGTTGCTAAGAATCGAAAAAAAGCCTGCACAATAAGCGAACGGGTGGGTGGAGGAAAGATACCAATTTGGCATCACGCTGCCCATTGCTCTACCATCTTGAGAGCGTGGGTTACCATCTTGAGAGCGTGGGTTACCATCTTGAGAGCGTGGGTTACCATCTTGAGAGCGTGGGTTACCATCTTGAGAGCGTGGGTTACCATCTTGAGAGCGTGGGTTACCTGCTCTTTCATGTGCGGCCCAATCCCCATGCCGCATGTGTGTGAAAGGAATTCCTTCACGCCCCTGATTCTGACCCCGTTCCCGCTCGTGTTATCTCCCAGCCTCTACAACCCCACAATTACCCTCCCCATGGTATACCACCTGGAGAGCGTGGGCTATCTGCTGTACCACGTGGAGCCCAACGCCCATGTGTGTGAAGAAGAGTGACAACTCGTGTCCTTGCTTCTTCTAATATGACCCTTCTCACCCTTGCTATTTTGCAGTGTCAATAACCCCGGCATCACCCTTCCAATGGTGTACCACTTAGAGAGCGTGGGCTATCTGCTGTACCACGTGGAGCCCAACGCTCAGCACCCCGACTGCTGCATTGAGCTGGCATTCATTCACCAGTCGCTGCTGCAGCCCTGGGGCACGTCGCGCGGTGACTTTCAAAGATGGAAGAAAGCAAGGGGGGAATGACATACTTATTATTGGGCTCTTCAGGTGTGGCTGCTGCTGCTGTTGCTGCTGTTCCGCTGTTTGGCTGGCTGTGTTGAGCCGGCCTTCATTCAGCAGGCGCTGCTGCAGCCCTGGGGCACATCGTTCAAAGACTACCGTATCAGAGGTGGAGAGCAAGGGGCAAGTGAAGCATTATTAGAAGTGTTCATCGTAGCAAGTAGCCTCTCTCAACCAACGCTCAGCACCCCGACTGCTGTGTTGAGCTGGCATTCATTCATCTGGTGCTGCTGCAGCCCTGGGGCACTTCGTACAGTGACTTTCAACGATGTAGGAAAGCAAGGAAATGACATACTTATTACCAATATCGGGCTTTTCAAGTGTGGCTGCTGCTGCTGCTGCTGCTATTCCTCTGTTTGGCTGGCTGTGTTGAGCTGGCCTTTATCCACCAGGCACTGCTGCAGCTCTGGGCGGGCATATCATTCAGAGACTGAATACACATTCACCATCAGTAATACGTGGGGCACTGGGGCAGTCCGTATGAGCTTTCTCAATCTTAGGGCCTAAATAGATCGAGCATGTGCTCCAGCCTTCACGTGCCGATACTTCTTTTAATCATCAGCAGGGCCTCAGATTGGTTTTGGGCTAGGCTGAACAATCAGAGTTGGTACAAAAAAGTATGCTGAAAATCATATAAATTAGCCATTTTATGCCATTTTACACTATAAAATTCATAGTTTTTCCTGTTTTTTTTCCAAAAAATTGCTGAAAAATCAGCCCTGGTTCTAAACGAAGTCTGAAATCTCGGCCTTTTTTACCTAAATCAGCCTTTTTTCGCTGACTTCTGAGGCCTCATCAGGCAACTTATGGCTCTTGTCTTGTGGGTGTTGGGAGACTTTTTTTTTTTTAGGGGAATGTTATTACACTACGAGAAGTGCATACATTCTCAGTCGTAACTGACTTCAGGAGAGGCCCTACCCTGGATATAGAACTTGGCTCTACACCTGGGTCCACGTGGCGTTTGTTGGGCTGAGACGCCCTAGGATCTTTGTAGAGTTAAAGTCTGAGTAAAACGATGTAATAGCGGAAGCGTTTGAATAAAGTCCTTGAACCACCTTGCGCTAGTATGTGAGGGCAAAGTAAGTTGATTAAAACAAAGGGATACAGGAATATATATGTATATGAGTACGGAGAATATGAAGAGACATTATAACTACTTTACTGTTGCGGTTCGATACAGTGCGACTCGGGCAACTGCTCAATGTCGAGGCAGTTGTATGTCCTTGCTGTCGCGCTGTATTTGTCAGGTCAAAGGTCGCTGACCTTTGACTTTCGCGTAACCTCCAGCGGTTACATCAACCTCCGAGGGTTGACTCGCTGGTGCTTCGATTGCGTTGCTTCGCTTGTGTCTTAGAGTTTCGACACGACAGAGGCGTTTAGGAATTATTTGTTCCCAACAACGTTTACGGAAGCCGCCTGATCGTTCTGGGGTTGTGCCAAATGGAGAGAAACCCGTTGCTCCACGTGGCCATTGTCAAATTTTATGTATGATATATATGTTTAGGCTGTAGTGGGGTAGCCAATATGGGGTACAGCCCTTTTTAGGGTTTCATACTTGTACCCAACACTTTTCCTAGTTCATTCATTTCTGCCTAGGCTTTTGACATGGTATTCAGAGCAGTAGGTCCCAGGGCTCTCGTTATCAGACCATTTTGGTCTGATGGTCTGATTTTCAGACTCATTTTTTTATTGTCATAATAATATATGATTCTATATATTATTTTGTAACTGCCTGTAGTGTAGACTACTGTAGTCATCAAATTTTCTGTTTGGTGGTGCACCTTTCTTCATTCTTGCCTATTTGTACTGCTCGCTCTATAGTGAAACCACTCTTTTTTTGCAATCTTCTCGACTCACCCAAACTCACTCGAACTCAACTACTCGACCTACTAGCTATGGCCTAAGCCTTCCTAGTACCTCAACATTTATATCCATCTGATTTTCCAATCTAGATCAGACAAAACAATTGTTTTGCCTGGGGGACCCGTATGACAGAATCAGACGCCCTCAGATCCTAGCAAGAGCCCTGGTAGGTCCGCAGGACCGCCTTTTTTTTTTTCGGGCCCACCTACCGCTACCCCATGACTGTGACTGTGACTGTGCCTAGGACGTGCTGCGCTGCGCGCACTGTCTGGCTGCTGCCTGCTGTCTGCTGCTGCTTCGCGCGCGCAGACCAAATTCTTGCGCGCTGCCCCTCTTTTGCCCCGCGCGTCGCCCTCCCTGCTCGCGTCGCGCCTCGGCAGCCGCGTCACGCCCCGCGCACCGCCCGCGCAGCCCGCATCGAGCCCGCGCAGCGCGCGCGCGGCCCGCAGCTGCCCCGCGCACCGCTCGCGCAGCCCGCGCCGAGCCCATGCAGCGCGCGCGCGGTTCGCAGCTACCCCGCGCACCGTCCGCGCCGCCCGCGCCGCGCTCTGACAGCCCGCGCACGGCCCTCCGCAGCCACACGCGCCGCCCTACCTGCTCGAGCCGCACCTCTGCAGCCTGCGCGCAGCCTGCTGCTGCCCCGCGCGCTGCCTGAATTGCCTGCGCCTACTTTGAGCGCCGCCCTTGCTGCTCGCGCCCTTTGCCGGCTGCCTACTGCCTTTGCCGACTGCCTTTGCCTGCACTGCGATTATGGCGACACTTAATGTTCTCGCGTTTGAGCCTGTCGGTCGCCCGATAGAGTTCGCCACGTGGCTTGACGATCTCCAACTGTTTCTTCTGACTGATGCCAAAGACGGCGTTTCACTGTTTGATTACGTGTCTGGCACTGCCGTTGCTCCTGCTGACGATGATACTGCTCTCGAACGCTCACCGTGGCAGACTCGCGATGCTGCTGCACGCCTAGCTATTCGAAATCATCTGCCGATCACTAAGCACGCGCATTTCAGCCAGCACAATACTGCTAAGGCACTGTATGACGCTGTAGTTGCGCACTACTCCTCCCCGGCCATTGCAGCCTTAGGTCGGCTCATGCTACCCTACCTGCTCCCAGACCTCTCCTCGTTTACCACTGCTAAGGACCTCATTTCTCACCTTCGCACTAGTGACACTCGCTTTCGTGCCGCCCTTCCAGCCGAGTTCTGCGCCGAGAACCCCCCCCCCCCCCCCCGATGTACTTCACTCTCTATTTCCTCGTCACCCGCCTCCCTGACACTCTTAACTACGTTAGGGATCACTTCCTAGCCCTAGACCCTACCACTCTCACTGTCGCCGACTTTGAGAAGCACGTCCTAGCAACAGAGAAGAACATCCTCGCTGTAGGTGCTGCTCGTGGTACTCCTCGCACTCCCCTCTTTGAGGGGTGCCCCCCTCCCCTCATACCCCCTCCTACGCGTCCGCAGCTGCTGCTGTCGACCTCCTTGGTGCTGAGAAGGTTGCAGCTGCTTCCGCTCCTAGTGGGAAGCGCACCGGCTCCAGGGGAGGCAGGGGTGGTGGGAATGGCGAGCGTGGCAGTGGAGGGGGCGGTGGTGGAGGCGGCAGGGGATGTGGAGGTGGTGGGGGTGGTCGTGGGGGTGGAGGTGGTGGTGGGGGCGGTGGTGGTGCTGGGAGCAGTGGCGGTGGCGGCGACGGTGGTGGCGGAGGGGGGAGTGGTGGTGGCGGTGGTGGTGGGGGCTTGAGTGAGACCAGTGGTGGCCAGGGGCAGCAGCAGCAGCAGCAGCAGCAGCAGCGTTAGCGCCAGATCCCCACTTCCCAGCAGCTTCATGACTGGTATGCCGGGCGTGGGGCGTCTGGGGGTCCTGGTCGCTGCCCCTATATCATTCGCACAGGTCCCCGCGCTGGTCGCCAGTGCACAGGCTTTCACACTGAGTACCGCTACTTCGCTCGGCTTAACGACGCCTGGCGTGTCAAGTTTCCTGATGCTACTGATTTCCCCAACTTGGCAGACATGCTTAGGCGTGATGTACCTATCTTTGATCTTGACTATGATGCTATTCTTGCTGCCATGTATACATTGACTATTAGTGCTAAGGGTGACTGCTACTTGTGTGTGCCGCCTGACCCTGGTATAGCCCCAGGTATAGCGCCTGCAGCTCTAGGTGCTCGTGAGTCTGCTCTCCTTGGTACTGCGTCCACAAAGGCCTTGCACACCTTTACACTTGACTCTGGTGCTTCCCGCTGTTTCTTTCGCGACACCACCACAGTCACTCCCCTCCCTGCACCTGTCCCTGTCTCATTGGCTGACCCCTCTGGGGGCCCAATGCTTGCATGGTCTTCCACTGTGCTTCTGTGTCCAGCGGTCCCGTCTGGTGAGCTGTCTGGTCTCCACCTCCCCTCGTTCTCTATGAACTTGGTGAGCAATGCCGTCCTTCAGGATCATTGGGTTGACACCTTTACTCCTGGAGGGCAGCGTGTGGCGATCTGCACGTGCTCTCGGACTGGCCGCCACCTAGCCACGTTCACCCGTGAGCCTGGGTCCAGTCTGTACACCCTCACCACTGTGTCGTGCTCTACCCCTTTGTCTCCTCAGTTGTATGCGTCTGCTCAGGTAGCTACTCAGTGTGTGTGTCGTCGCCTGTCGCACCAGACCCTCCTTTGGCACCACCACCTTGGTCACCCCTCCCTGCCTCGCCTTCGTGGCATGCACTCTCGCTCCCTGGCCTCTGGTCTTCCCAGGTCTCTGCCTGCCCTCCCTCCCTTGCCTGCGCCCCCTTGCATTCCTTGCGTCGAGGGACGGCAGCGCGCCGCTCCTCACTCCTCCTCGTTTCCTCCCGCAGAGGCTCCGCTGCAGACTCTCCACCTGGACGTGTGGGGCCCAGCCCGCGTCCAGGGTGTCGTGAATCCCCTCCCTTACCTGTCTCCCTGCTCCAACTTTTGCCCCATTACCTTCCCCTCTTCTGTTCCTTGCCCGTCTTCTCTCTTGTGCCTCTCTCAGCCACTCCCTAAAGAATCCGTCCCCCACACTTGGCTACCCCGAGTGGCCTTGACACCTGGCTTAGAAAGCTTAGATCAGCAACTTAATCCACTATAGAGAGTAAACAAAC